TTTGTTTCAGGGGAGTAGTTTACACAAGGGTTTGTTTCATTTCGTGTGAAGTTCGGATGTTTTTCTATCATATTTGATTGTGCAGTGTTCATTCTTTTCCCTTTCTCTCCTTTCCCCCCCCTTTTTTTTTTCCACTAGCCGGATTTTCCTTACAAAGAGGAACTCCTTTCTTTGGACTCCAGCTGTCTCTTGTTTATTGTCCTGGTGTTCTTTGTATTATTTATCATTTTAAAGGTAAGTTAAAAATTAATCATGTGTCTGTTGCAAGAGTTAATAACTATTGAGCCAGTGTCAATCTGAGTTAATTCTCAATGCTGAATTCAGAACCCAGCTGCCTTCTTAATACTGAGGTGAGAACTTTGAGAACAGTTCTTGGGATGTTCAGTTCCAGTATGACTTAAGTCTAATATATTGTGTACTGGTGTCTTCAGCTAACTTTTGTGTGGTTGGGGTGTGCTTGTGCAGCTCAGCTCTTCCTGAGTAGGAAGGAGGAATGCAAAAAGACTTTTTGTCTACGTGGAGAAAATTTTAATAGTTGTAATTAAGCTTGTAGTGAAATTGTATTGAGTTAATGCATACAAGTTTCTAAACAAAATGTTTCAATCTCTCACTGTGCCTAACAAACCAGAATGCAAGTTTTGGAAGCAAGATGATGGAATGAGGAAATGTATAAATTAATTCTAGACCTGGATCTTCTTCCCTTCTGAAGGGTGATAGTACCAGTTTCTTTCTGAAGATCTAAATAATAAGGCATTCATTTGGATTATGAAAACTCTTGTGTAGAAAAAGCATATTAGAGAAATGAATTTATAACATACATTGGCCATGATAATGTTCCTTTATTACATTCAGGTTGCATTTAAGAAAAAATGAAATAATGAATAATAATTTCACTGATTTTCTATACTTTTTCCAAGAAAAAGGTATGGGTAACTGGGGGGAGTGAAAGCCTAATACAATAGATAGCACTTGTGTATTGATTGGGAAATTTGGTACCTTTTGTGCAACAGTGCTAACTTGTCAGTGGGAGATTTGGAGAGGTTAATGTTACACAAATTATTAATAAAAATCTCTAATCCTCATCATATCATGCTAGTGTTTCTTTCTGCAGCAGTCAGTATTGACTTGAAGGTCAGGGCTCACTGCTCTGCCCTCTCCCTGCTGCCTCAGTTGTGTGTCTGAGCCTTCTCCTTAACACGGGCAGTTAGCTGGAGAAATCCTGCTAACAGGGAGATGAGTGGGATTGTACTGTTGGCCTCTCCTCCTCCTCCTGGCAGGTTTGGACTGGGATCCACACAAGTATAAGCCAGTTGGGGATTAATTTGATTAGCACTGCTGAGGCAGACAGAGATTAGTTGAATGGATCTGTGAATTCTTTTGCTAAAAGCTGTGTGGTGCGTCCTCTATGAGTCACTGTGACAGCAGAGCTAAGTGGAGAGCAGCATAGGTATGTGGCCAGGTCTGTGGAATAGCAACCATTCCTCAGATATGTGTTGTCTAAGTTGATTTATTCTCCTTTTTATCATAAGAATGTCATCCAACATCTAATTTCTGAATCAGCCAATGCTTATGAGATGTTTAAAAGAAAAATCTCTCTTCTTTCAGGCATATCTAATTAACTGTGTATGGAACTGCTATAAATACATCATCAGCAGAAGTTTGCCAGAGATTGCTGTGTACCCTGCTTTTGAAGCTCCTCCACAGGTAAAATCTTGTTTTAAGATAAAAGGAAGCAGTGTCATTAATTTTTAAGTAGAAAATCACCACATCCATGTATGTTTCCAAGCCTTGTCCAGCTTTCTAAAGAAAGACTGGAAAGATAAAACATTTTAAAGCAGCTAATTTTGTGTTGGGTTATTTCTTAGCTAAATTCTGGGTGTCTGAATGGAGGGTCTTTAGAGAGAAGTCTTTGAATGTTTTTCTTGTGGTAGAGGGAAGCTTTGACTGCACCAGTCCAAACCCTCCTTGCTGCTTTACAAAGTCAAGATGCAGTGGGGTGTGGATGTAGGACTGAGGGTTAGGCTCAGCAGAGCAGCAAACTGCTCCTGCACCTTCTTTCACTTCCTCATTTGCTTACTAGGAATAGCAGTGAATTCTTAAAATAACTTTGCTTGCAACAGAGAATTAAGTTGCTGATGGGCCATGTATGCTTTTGTTCTCTTGTTTCTTTTCTTTTTTTTTTTTTTTCATTTGAAATCTCTTGCATTAATCACTTCAAAATGTCTTCTCCTTAGTATGTTCTGCCAACCTATGAAATGGCAGTGAAGATGCCTGAGAAGGAACCTCCACCTCCCTACATACCTGCCTGAAGTAATTTTTATGTTCATTAACATCTGTACCAGCTTCCTGGGGGTTTTGTCTTTTAATCTTGCAAAACTGCTTAAGTAATAGAAATATTCAGGGCTTTAGGAGCAAACTGTTCTGTTTAAAATATGTTTGATATAAACTTACTAAGCAACACACATCTGAGAGTGATTTCATTTGCTTTAATTTTTGTTCTCCCTAATGCTCTTAAACATTTTATTGCCTTAGGGCCTTACACCTGCAAGAACTTATGCATGTGACTAACTTGTGGCTTTTAATAATACCAATTGAGCCACTCTGATTGAAGTTAGCTGTGATTATAAGTGTCTTCAGGATTATGCCCTTAATTTATATTAATTTTTTGTAAAGTAGTTCATAAAGACAATCTGATCGTGCAGCAAAATGACAGTTTGCCTTTATCCATTTTTTTGGAAGGGGAAGGGTTTGAATGTGGTATATATGTGACTTTTTTACTTTGCACTTTTCTCATATGTTATCTTACCTTTTATTGTGGTTTTTTTTTTTGTTATCCTATGTCTTGAAACAGTATTTTTGAGGAACAAGTGAGGGTGGCACAGGAGTTCTATTACAGCGAGCTGGGAATGCAAGAAAAATAAATAGAAATGTGGAAGATGGTTGCATGCTTCTAATCTTCTATGTATTTTCCTCTTTGTGATAAATGATACTTAAATAAATCTTTTACAAAATGTTTACCAGTAGTGTTGGTTGATCTTTTTGGTGGCTTTTTTGTTTGTGCTGCAGACAGTCCAGCATACTTAGTTGCAGGTTTAGTGGTTGATCCATGCTTCAGTAGAAGTCCTCTTGTGGCTGGAGAGCATGGATGCTCTCTAACACCCAGGCCTGTGTTAAAGCCTTTGCAGTTCAAGTACTTGGGTGACTTCCACTTGTCTGATTGGTACCTACCCATGAGCTGGGAAAAGGGAATTGTACTGGAGGCTTTGAGCCCTTGGGGAAATCTGATGTCTGGTCAGCTCAGGCATTAAAGCAGGACAGACACCCAGCAGGACTGCAACATTTACATTGGAAAATATCCAGAGTTGTTGGAGATATGCCATAACTTAGTGATGTTCTTCTACAATCAACAAAAAACCTCAAACAAAAAAACCAAGCTACAAAAATTTTTCCACTCTTCCTCTCTAGTAGCAAGAGCTGTAAAGAGGTAAAAGATTATTTAACGACTTAGTATGGCTGAAGAAATAAAACACTTTACTGCTTTGGAAGAGAAGAGGTACCTCTGTTAAATTGTGAGAAAAGGGATTCAGATTGTTGCAGCATATAATTTCTGGGGTAATTCCTGTATTTTCAGTATGTATGTCTGTACACATTTAAAAATGCTCTGTTAGAGCTCTGCTACCAGCAGTAGCTTCCCCTTTTTAATTAACTCTGGTGCCACCTGCAAGAGCACTTTGAAGTGCAGTGGTCTCAGAGCCTCTCTGCCCCTGTTCTGGCAGTGCTGTCCTGGCTGTTATCCCAAGGAGCTACCCAGGGTGGGACCAGTGCTGCTGGAAGCTGCACTCTTATTTCCAGATTCTGAGGAGTTGCCCTGGATCTGAACTCCCACAGAGACTCCAAACGCAGGGCATCTTCAGATGCTGCCACAGACTGCTTCAGTGTGACTCTGGAGGGGTGGGGGGGTGTGAAAGACCACCGTGGTTTCGTGTGGTTTAAGAAACACAGCTGAAACTGGGTGCTGCTCCAACATGGATTCCAGCACGCACTCTGCTCTGGCTCCCTCTGCAGTGAGTGTGTGTGTGTCTGACCACGAGTGGGCAAAGAGCTCCTGCCAAGGGCTGTTTATTGACTGTCCAAGTGGGTGGCTGACCATGTGTGTGAGCAGTACTTGACAGCAGCAGACACTGCCTGAAATTTGGGGGTTGTGTGCTTGTGCTCTTGCTCTAAAAAGCTGCAGTGTTCTGAGAGAGAGAGAAAAGCCATTCTACTCCCTGGAGCCCTGCCCTGTGGCTTTCTCCTGCTTGAAGGTGGTGGTCCCTCTTCCCTGCTACCGTTTGCAGCCTTTGGGAATGTGATGGTGTCCTCTTCCGTGCTCTTGTGGTAGAACTTGCTGAAGTGAGTCACTGCCTGCCTGATACTGTACAACGCTGGGGGCTTGGTGGTTCCTCTTCTAAATCAAGGCTTCCTGTTCCCCTGATGGAGGTGATGGGAGAGAAGATGATCCTGCAGTACAACAGGATACAGATTTGGTAAAGGCGTCTTCTAAAGCCCTGTGCTGGAGATCAGGGTGCCTTTGAGCTTTCCCAAAGCTCACTGCAGCTTCCTGCAGGAACTGCCCAAAATGTCCTTGGCCAAATTTGGCAACAGAGCGGGCAGTTCTTGTGCCTCGGTGATCATACCAGGAGCTTTTCTCCCGTTCTTTGCAACTGCTGCCCTGGAGACTGAGATGCACAATTAGCCTGGAAGGAAGAACGGTGTCTCAGCTCCCCCTGCGCCCAGGTTCCGGCCCTGCCACACATGCCCAACCAGGAGCGCTGATCCTCGCCCCGCTCCCTCTCCCCAGGGCAGAGCGCCCGTCGGGGCGGGGGAGCGCGGGCCAGAGGGCCGCCCCGGGAGGAGGCGGCGGGGGCGGCCGGTGCCCCCTCGGTGTCCCGTCCCCCTTGGCGCTCCCGGCGGCTTTAAAGGCGGCGCGGGGCCGGGGCAGCAGCAGCAGCAGCAGCAGCATGGGGCGGTGGCTCGGCGTGCTGGGCTTGGGCTGCTGCCTGGCGCTGGCGCTGCTGCCGCTGCCCGCGGCCCCGCGGGGCCCCGCGCTCCGCCCGCGCCGGCAGCCGCGCCCCGGCGGCCGCTCCGCAGGTACCGCAACGCGCGCCCCGCCGCGCCTCTGCTCGAAACAGCTTCATTTCACACTCGTGCGAGGACCGGCTTGCTGAAAAGGGCTTTTTCCTTCTCAGTCTAAAAAAGGGAAGTTTTCTACCTACAAACACTGCACTGGCTCTTTTTTCTTTCTTTTCTTTCTTTTTTTATTTTAAAATTTTTTTTAACAAACCTTGCCTTTTTTTTGTTTGTTTTTTTTTTGTTTTGTTTTTTGTGTCTTAAGCTATGCATGCATGCACTAACATTTCTTCATGTTTTTTCAGCTTCCCAAAAGCGAAACTGAATTACAGGATGAATATAGAATGATATAGAATGTACCTGGGTGGGATCAGATTCATCTTGTCTATTACTCCTTCCAAAAGCAAAACCAACTATGCTGCTGTGCTTCCTAAGGGAATTTGTGCAATTTCATTTTTTCCCCTCTGTTTTCACTTGAATCAGAGAAAAAAGGTTTCTAATACCTTGGGGGGGGGGGTGCTGTTTTCACCTCTGCTTTTAAGATACTTGTGAAGATTTTTTAAATTTAAACTGGAATGGAGTAATAAAAGTCAACTTGACAGTAGCCAGGAGAGGTGTGTCAGGTTCCCAAAACAGCCCTCAAGTTGTGAATTCAAACTGGACACCTCATATTTTGCTATTTAATGCACTGGTGAGCCAGGATGTCTCTTTTATATATATACTCTTGTTTTGGGTTGTCTATTTTTCAGCTGCAAATCCAACCTTGATGGTATAAATTAAGTACATGGTACCGTCTGTGTCAGGATGTGGTATCAGGACAGGGAAGGGGCATTTCAGTTGCCTGCTGTCACTGTCTTGATTGGTTTTTGTCTTCGTAGAAGTGATGCTTGTCTCTGATCTAAGCTGTGGCTTTTCTGCTTCTGTCTTGATTTACATGGCAGTGAGGAATTTTGGAAACGTGTGTGTAAATGTTTATTTTATACTTCATGAGTAATTTCACTTTTCTCTATCTGCTCTACAAGTCATAAAAAACAACAATTTCCAAAGAAGCCTTTTTAAAACATCATTTGTGTCTTTTTCCTTGTTGGCCTTTATTTGTTCTTCTTGTGTATTTTGGATTGTGATTTACAAACAAGAAATAATTCCTAATTAGTACTTTTAGTACTAATTTAGTACTAAATTAGTAATTTAGTTACTATCCAAAAAAATATTACGATCCATTCCCTAGATGATCTAGTCAGATGTTTTGCCATTTTATTTCTTTATCTTATAAAAACTGGAATTCAAGCTTTATGAAAATAAACAGTAAATACATTCATATATAATTGTTTCATCTCTTTGTTACCTGTTACATGAAACCCTTTGTTTCAAGGATAGTTAGACAGTTTTGAGAGTTCAAATGTGCATCTATCTATTAATGCTTAGAAAAAAACAGTTATTACTTGTCAAAATTAATATTTATGATTCTCTAATATGTTATTCACTATAATTTGAAGCCTCTTCATAAAGAATCAACCAGCATTGTCTGGCAGGAGTAGTTTGCCATGACAGCACTCGCTGCCCTTGGGTGAGAGCTCCTGTCCCGTGTAGGAGATGACTGAAGCACTTTCCTTCCTTCTTGGCAGACACTGCCTGTAAGAACCGGCCTCTGGACCTCGTCTTCATCGTAGACAGCTCCCGCAGCGTCCGGCCTGAAGAGTTTGAGAAGGTGAAAATCTTCCTGTCAGAAATGATCGATACCCTGGATGTTGGTGAAAGAACGACGCGTGTGGCGGTCATGAACTACGCCAGCACTGTCAAGGTGGAGTTTCCCCTCCGGACCTACTTTGACAAAGCCTCTCTGAAGGAGGCCGTGTCTCGCATCGAGCCCTTGTCTGCTGGCACGATGACCGGCCTTGCCATCCAGACTGCCATGGAAGAAGTCTTCACCGAGGAAATGGGCACCCGGCCAGCCACCTTCAACATCCCCAAGGTGGTCATTGTTGTGACAGACGGACGGCCACAAGACCAGGTTCAAGACGTGGCAGCAAGGGCGCAGACAGCCGGCATCGAGATCTACGCGGTCGGGGTGGACCGGGCAGACATGGAGTCCCTGAGGATGATGGCCAGCGAGCCTCTGGATGAACACGTCTTCTATGTGGAGACCTACGGTGTGATCGAAAAGCTGACATCCAGATTCAGGGAGACTTTCTGTGGTAAGGGGAGCAGTCCAAGAGAGTGGTGTAACTTGGCTCCTTTTGACTGCTGCTGCGGTTCCACTCCTTAAGAAAGAAGTTTTTAAGAAGTGTTATGTATCACATCTAAATATTTCCTTTACCATCCATTGGGCAAACAAGCCAACCCTCTGTTTCAGTGGGTAACAGCCTTTAATTTTGAATAGTGACCTCAGTGTAGGTGACAGGCCTGACTCAAGTGGACCTCCTTGTGCAGTTGGTCAGATTTAGAGAGAAAGAGAAATCACAGCAATCTGGACAAGGTTTGACTGCATATATTTCCTGAATTACTGAAGGTACACACCAGAGCTGTGCAGGCTGCTCGTTTCTTTTCCCATCTCACTGGGAAGCAAGGAGGATGGGCATGTGGAGCTGAAGGGATTCCCTATAGGTTCAGAGTAGGACAATCAGCGTGTCAGGTAAACCACCACACTGGCTTGAGCAATCTGGTACAGAATGAAGTGCCCAAATGCAGCAGCAGGTCTTCTCAGGACAGGCTTTCACTCCTTAGCCACTGCTGGGCTTTTCCAATGTGCCAGGCTCACATCTCCCTCCGTTTCTCTGCAACTTGATTTAGACAAGGAACTGTGGGATGAGACTAATTAGCTTTGCTTTTTCAGGGTTGATCTTATAAAAGTGCGGTATGTATTTGGTTTAGGCTAGAACTCCACTAACAATGCTAGGCCAGAATGGGCTGTTGCTGTCATTTATAGGGAAAAAAGGTCCTATCTACAGGCACTATTTAGAACTGCCTATATATAAAAACTTGTGCAAAGTAGATTTTTCTAGTGAATTTCTAAGAAATTTACTTTAAAATAAATCTCAGCAAATAATAGGTAAAATAGATATAAATGACATTGTAAAAAAATTAAAATAACAGCCACTTCCTTGGGAATTTGGTTGGCAGTGTGTTACTTTTGTTATTTCAGAGCCTTACTAAAATTACTACCATACCTTTTGAGTATGTTTAAAGTGAATAAACCTCTTTCTCTAGGTATGAAATAAATGTGTAAGACCATCTGCAGACAGTACACTTTGCCAACAGAATGCCTTGAGGTTTGGCTTGACACCATGTTGTGCTGCTGGTGTGACCAGATCCTCACCAGTGCCCACGTGGCTGGGCAGGTATGTGTGCTGTGAGCACAGCACTCATGTCCACCTCATAGCAGCAAAGAAAAATCTCTTGTTCTTACGAATAAACTGTTTATTGTGCTGAAGCATAGAAATTACACCTCTGCAAGGCTGGAGGGTAAATCAGAGAGCTCACATGTGTACACTTCCAGTGGAACTCTGAGTCGCCTGTGTGCAGTTTGCCAGAATCTGGGGTTCATGAAAAAAACAGGATGAAGGAAGCAGTCTTTACAAAAACTCCTATGAATCTAAGAGGGTATTGTAAGACAGTGTGGTAACCTGGGTCTCTTTACAGCTCCAGAGTGCTTTTTGGTCAGAAATCTGGACTCACCAGTGCCAATTAGGATTTTCTTGCGCTTTGACCAAGGCAGTTAATTTATTTGCAGGGTGAACTGAAAACAGAGAAATTAATGTTCAGGGGAAAAATAGTTGGCTAAGATCAAGTTCTTGATGCATTGAGAGCATTATTCAGCATGAAGCCATCCCAGAGATGGAAAAGTCTTAGCCTTGAATAGCTGTCCAAGTCAGTGGACATTTGACTTTCCTACCACAAAAATCCGACCATTTGAGTCTGAGCTTCTCACTTATGCTTGAAAAGATCACCCAGAGATTTTGTTCATGTAAAATGTATAGACAAGACAACTCTATCAGCCTTTTTAGCAGAATCTAAACCTTCCTTGTTTTCGAAAATGGGAATGTTGCCATTTTGTTGCCACAAAATTGCCTTATTTTCAGAAACACATGAGAAGGTTTAAGCACTCTTGCTTCTGATTTTTTTATCTCACCAGTATTGCTTTGGAGATTGATTTTACCAGTAGTCCATACCCACAATAATACTAATTAGTAACTACAAATCTAAGTAAAAATCTCAGGTAAAACCTTCCCTTCCCTTCCCTTCCCTTCCCTTCCCTTCCCTTCCCTTCCCTTCCAATATAAAGGAACTGCATACAAAGAGCCAGAAGAGCTTTTCATGGCTGAGTTCTTTCCTGTGCAATGTTCCTGAATGCTCAATATCTCTCCTTGTTGAACCATCTCATTTTCAATTCATCTTTTCTGCTGCCACCTCAGGTAATGAGTTATTTCTGTGCCATTTATGGCCTCTCTCTCCTGGCTAAGGAGTGCTGTAACTTGTTGTGACAGCAACACAGCACTGACATGTACTACCACTAATCCAGCAAACAGTGCAAGATGTACTTCTGTAAGCATGAATGAGTAATGCCTGTTTCTTTCCTCTGGGATGCTGAAGTAGCTCTCTGCCCGTGCCCTTTGCAGCTGTGAACGTGTGTGCCCTGGGGACCCACGGCTGCCAGCAGCTCTGTGTGAGTCACGGGGCATCCCACCTCTGTGACTGCTATGAAGGATACACCCTGAATCCAGACAAGAGAACCTGCTCAGGTATTATTCCTTTGGATAATGAGTTCAACTAGAAAAAAAATAAATTAACACTATTCTTGGATTTGAGATGATATGTGTGTGCTTCTGTTGAAACAACAAACATCCGTATCTTTTTCAATAAGAATCTAGAAATGAATAATAAATAAAACTCAGCTGCAAGTCATGGTGAGATGTATCTTGATTCTATCACTGTCCTTTTTATTGTGCCTACAGATCCATTCATTAGGGTCAGATGCTAAAACAAAATATCTGTAGTGTCTACATTTCTTCAAATGTAGACACTATAGATATTTTCGCCTACCACTTGTTCTAATTCCTTTGATTATTATTGCCATTTCTGAGATGATTCCAAATCAAAATATATTTAAAAATAGGTTTGTGCACTCCATCCCAACCTGTTTGTTATTAACAATGAGTTGTTTCTCTAACATGCCTAACAAGCTGTGGACGTGTGTGCATCTGGGAGGCACGAGTGTGACCAGATCTGTGTGAGTAACAATGGGTCCTATGTCTGTGACTGCTATGAAGGCTACACCTTGAATCCAGACAAGAAGACTTGCTCAGGTAAGAATTAAAGGCTACTTGAATATATGAAACTCATGGAGATATGGACATATTTTCTGTGAGTTACCCTAAAATGAGAACTCAGCTGTAGTCTTTTCCTTGTTTCCTACAACATTTTTCATTAAATTTGTTGATTTGAAAATGCAGTTTGGCATTTATCTACCATTTTATGGTCTTCACAGAATACCATAAACGTTGTTTAGTTGCTTAGTCTGACACAGGGCAGGTTGTTGCTCATCTCATGTGGGTTTTTAGCTTCATCCTTACTGGGGATGTATGGGACTGTTGGAATTGCTGATGAAAGGCAGAACTGCATGAGATGTGGTGTAGTCATGTCTTGCAGTATCTACCTCCTCCATTAAATAATTAATAACTGAATTCACTTGTCTGCAGCACAATATAATAATGAGTGGTTATCTGGTTAAATTGTAAGGAAATGATAATTAAAAATGTTGAGCATTTCAAACAGTATCTGTGAGGGATTAACAGGTTTCTTTCCTAAACCATGGCTCCCCACAGCCATGGACATGTGTGCTCCTGGGAGGCATGACTGTGCCCAAGTCTGTCTGAGTAATGATGGATCCTACAGCTGTGGCTGCTATGAAGGATACACTCTGAATCCAGACAAGAAGACTTGCTCAGGTAAGATCTGATCAAGGAAAAATTGTGTTCCACTAAAAGCAAGCAGCTTTTAGAAATCTGGCAAATTGATGTTATTTTTCTGATAAATTATCCCAGAGTTTCTGTACAACTCCTGAAAACTCAGGGCAACTTTGTTTTTCCATAGGTAGAGTAGTAATTTGAGATCCTTGGCCCTTCTGCAGTAGTGTGAAGCTTGTATTTGGTTAAAATTAAAATGCCATTTGGCATTTCCTTGAGGACTTCACAGTATTTTCATGCCCATGGAGCATGAATTGCCATATCCAGTATGTGACATGGACCACTTCTGTCAGAAAATCTTCAGTAAAGCAGAACAAGGGAATGAGATGAGGGAGAGCATGAACTGTGCTGGAAGAATGATTGCAGTCTCTACCATTATGAGTGTGATTGCTCTTTCTGGTGGATGTGTTTGGACCTTAAAAAATATTCCAGCCTTAAAGCTCTAGAAGATGGAGGAAAATGTTCCTTCTCAGTGCTGGTCTCTTGTGGAGAGCAAAAGCATAGATGTAGGTGGTACTCAGGGATGTACACATAGTTATATATTATCTACAAATTGTTATATTTTCTATAGTATCTTCACTTGATTAAGGTTTGATTTTCACTCTGAATTTCTCTGGAAATCTCATGATTTATTTAGGTCATTTATTTAGGCAAAATCCTTTTTTTCCCCCACTTCCACTATAATCCCTTTCCTTACTATATTTTGTGTGACAAACTGTTGAATTTAAGCTTCCAGTTCCAGGAAGTTCCTGGGCCAATCTCTCAAGGTAAGTCACAGGTCTCACATCTCAAAGAGGTGAAGCCAGAGGGTCTCAGTATTTCTTCCTGCCTAGGTTAGGAGCTGATTTTGTAAATATGGTGCTTAGGATTAGCTCTTAGCTGCCATTACAGAGGGGCAATAAACATGTGATGGAATGTAAATTCAGTCAGGCCTCCCCTTTGGGAGTCTAATCCCAAACTTTATTTCATAGCATTGATTCTCTATCTGTTTACTCAAACTTTAAATTATTTTTTTCACATGCTTGCTTTTTTTTTTTCCTTTTGAATCTCATTTTGCCGTATCCTGCTAATGATTTCCCAAACATCCAGGTCTTTGTCGCAATTATTTCACAAAGATGTGCAAAAAATGATGCAAAAATAATCTAGGTCTGGGAGAGGATCTTTCCCCCCTTTTCTTTTACCTTTTCATTTTTTTATTCTTTTCCTTTGCTTCCTTTCCCTTCTCCTTTCTTTATCTTTCTCTCTCTCTTCCTCTCTTCCTTTCTTTCTCCACCCTTTATTTTTTCTTGTGCCTTACTGGGCCTTCTTACTGCAAAGATATCCAAATATAGGAACTCCTTCTCAGCTTGCCCTTTCAGAATTGACGTGTTAAAATTGGCAGAAAACAGCAGACTCACACATAAAGTGCCCACTTTGTAACTGGCAGTGGGTGTCACATCTTTTTCAGCAGCCACATATACTTTTCTGTTTATGGTCTTTTCACTCCATAAAACAGTGTCTTCTCCAACTCAATTAGAGCTGAAGTAATGCCAAATAGTCTCTTAAAATCAAGATATTTGTTCTCTGAAATTCTGTTGGATAATTGTTTTGTAACTTCTTGACTTGCAGTTCCATTCCTTTTGCCATCTGTTACAGCTGCAAAAAAGCATTGCCAGTATTCCAAAATTTCGCACTAATTTTGTGACGTTGATAGCCAGCTAAAAACACACTCTGTGCACCCTGCTCTGGTTAACAGCACACTGACATGCAGCAAAAACATCCTGGTGTGAATGCAAATGAAGATACATTTGCAAATGGGAATATGGAAATCCCTGTGACCAGCGCTAAAGTTTGGATATGGATTGGTATTCTCTCTGCAATGCCTCCCTCATCTGTGTGTGCCTGGCAGGCACCACTGAGAGCAGATCTTCATCAGGGGTGACCAGCTCTACTCCTGTGGCTGCCACCAGGGCTTCTCCCTCAACCCAGACAGGAGGATGTGCTCAGGTAGAAGCAGATTGCAGATCCCTCTCCAGCCGTGCCCTCCCCAGCTAAGTGCATGTATTGCAATGGCTCTTGTTAGCATGTGAATATATTTGTGCATGCCTGAGGAGCTTTCACCTGCACTCGGGTGTCAGAAAACAGTTCCATGTCACTCTGCCTTGCCCACTTTAGCAAATGTCAGAGACACAAAGAACTTTATATGTAACAATGTTAGTAAATACTCACCATGCAGTCTTTGTCAATTTACAAATAAGGCCTTCTCTAATTTATGTAATATTCAGCAAACCCAGAACTGACAAATTGTTGAGGAGAGAAGAGCTGGGGTTAGTCACACACTTTGCAGTACTGTGGAATGTGTGTACTACCATGCATGTTTTGAGGTGATGTCCTCCCCTCCAGGCTGAATTTCATCTTGCTGTTCCTTTCTTTAGCTTCTCAGTGACTCTGTGTTACAGTAAAAATATAACAATTTCAGAAGTGGGTTTTTTTCCTTCCGAGTGTCCTTACTGTAAAGTTATTGTGCACTGGAAACCTTTTCTAGTGTGCCTTTGGAGCTGATGTGGCATCTCACATCTGGTGGGGTTACACAGCTGGGTCAGAGGGAGCAAGCTCTGAGGTATCCCTTCCATCAATTAATGTAAGACAATTGCTGCTCCAAGGTGAGATCAGTTACACATCTCAGCAGTTCCTGATAAGATTCATAGAGGATAGGCTCCCAGCATGGACAAGCATTGCCATTGGGAAGCATTAAGAAATGTTATCTTGGTTTTGGGTAACTGCTTCTCCAAAGCACATGCTGTGTGAACTGGTGTGTGTGCCCCAGAGCCTATGACTGCCAGCAGGTCTGTGTGAGTGGATCATAGACCTGTGACTGCTATGAAGGATTTATCTTAAATTCAGATGACAAAACATGCTCAAGTAATAACTTAATGTTCGGGGTTTTTTCTGAATATGTTTATTGAAGCACTTCTTTTTAATGTGTTAAACATTTTTAATCTGTTTGAGCAATGGTCTCTCAACTCACAAGCTCTCAGGAAGTATAATTCCTTTTCATTCTTTTATGCCTCTTCTTTATGTCTCTTCCTTCTTCTTTAGTTATAGCAGTTAACTGTATTTAAAACTAGTTTAATGTTGTCTCTTATCTGTCATCATACCTTGAAGGACTTACTGTATTTAAAAACATAATCTGAATTCCTGAAATGGGAATTGGGGGTGTTGGCAGGGCAGGGTTCGGGGGCACTTGCCTCTGGGATGTGACTCTCCATTGCCTACCTGCATTTGGAGAATGGCTGGAGGGTTCCCAGGGGAACAATACTCAGGTTAGAACTGCTGCAATGCTAAACCTTGTGTCCTTGGTGTCTCCTCTAAGCTGAGTGGGGCAAGAATGAACTCACCAACTGCTTTCAGATGGGCAATACTGGGATCAAATGTTGGCAGAACCTCTCCACAGTTCGATGTAGAATCCAAAGTTAAGTTGGGTAGGAAGGGACCTCAAGAGCTGCCTAGCTGTACCCCTATTCAGAGTGGCAATAACCTGCCATCACATCAAGTGGCTGAAGATGCTGTGTAAGAGCACAGTCATAAAATAGGTGGATATAGACAAACACCATCTGCAAAAATAGTTTCTTGTTGATCTGGAGTTTACCACAAAGGCAGTGTAAAAACACAGCTTTAACATGTTTTGTGTGACTTGTTGGGCATCCTAGTGGCAACAGGAATATCCCAAATTTTAAATATCAAATATTGGAAGACTCCTAATTTCACAGTAGGACTGTAGAAGAATTCAGAACATCCTTGGACAATTGCCAGAGCTGGTTGGAAAAATAAGTTTGTTAAAACAGTCAAAATCCAAGGAGAATCTGTATTTGTCACTGGAGAATTTAAATGCAGACATAAAAAGTTAACTGGCAGTTGGTTGGAAACCAACCATGTTGGTGTGATGTTCTGAGCTGGCCTTCCTCCAGCTGACTCTTGAACAGCTCTTCTTTGTACATTGACCATAAAGCCAGTGGAATGTTCCATAGAGGGGAGCTGAACAAATACAGCCTCAGTGGAATCAAAGAGACACCAATTTCAACATTGGCTTTAAGACAAATGAGTTTCTGCACTGCCAAATCTGCAACCTCATAGATTTTGCAGTTTTGTTGCAAAATGGGGGTTATAATGGCATGACTGCTAAAAAGAGAAAACCAAACCAAACCAAACAAACAAACAAAAAAGAAGCTAAAAGAGTTCAGGAAAAAAGGGAAATGTACTTAGATATAATATTTCTATTTTCTTACTGTTACAATGCTCACACACCTTGTTTGACATTAATCAGCTATGCATTTATATATCTAGAGAAAACAAAATTTATTAATAGGCTATTGTTACCTTTGCAAGTAATGTAAAAAAACCCATTTATTAAGAGATGGGTATTATACACAGGTAATATATCTTGATAACTTACTGAAAATGTATTTGTAGGCTCTCTTTTAAGAAGGCTTTGCTTTTGGAAGCTCATTATTCCAGTCTCAGATGTGGATGGTGAACTCACTCACCTGTGCTGCTGTAGCTGTTGAGACATTTGTTCTCAGCCTTCAGTGAAGTGGTGCAGCCTTAACTTACTTACTTTATGGGGTAGGTGAGCTTAAACTACCTCTCATGCAGCTAAGAACTCACAGCCATCTATTGATGCTTCACATTATTACACTACAGTGAAATTGTCATCATTGCTGGTTTTTTCTGTGAATTATGGAGAAAAAGGAATTGTTGAGGACAGCTGAGGCTGGTCCCCTGTAAGTTTGGAAGACTGAGGTCAAGACTTAGGAACAGATTCAGTGGAAGCACTGTGGAGTATAGCAATGATTACTCCCTTTCTGAAGAGACTGGTAACTGCTCTGTCTGGTAACTGGCTCCTCCAGTTAGATTGCTGTGATCTTCTGCTAATTATAAATTCACTTGGGCCTATTTGAATGGCATCATTAGCTCCATCTATATTCGTGTGACATTTGAATGGATTTGTGTCCATCCTCTTGAATCAAGAAAGATACTCCCTAAGCATGCATGTTTCAAATGTTAGAAACAAAGAGTACTTGTGGGGCAACAGAATTAAAGTTGATGGGGAGGCTGGTTGGTCTCTGCAGCCAGGCCCTTTTTTGTTTTTATTTTTTCTCAGTAATGGTCTAATTTAAAGAGTGTAGAGGCTCCAGGTGTGCAGGTGAGGAACATCCTGCTCTGCTTCCTTCTTGGTTCAAGTTGAGCTCTCTTTAACCTGTCCTGGACTATGACACTCAGGTCTCTGGCTACACACCAGCCCCTGTTCACCACTGCCCCTCCTTCCCACCTGACTTGCAGTGTTTGCTGTGGTCTCACATTGTGGGTTTGACTCCTTCCACAGGATCAAGCATTTTCTTGGGATTTAAATGTTGAATAATTGTAGTAAATATAGTAAATGCTGTTTTCTCTCTTAGGAGCCATAACGAGCAGTCTTGTAACTGATGAAGAGTCCTGTAAGTGTGAAGCCATAGCTGCCCTCCAGAACTCAGTGACCTCATACCTTGAAGCTCTATCCACAAAATATATCCTTTTTCTTACATGATCACCTGCATTCAGGTATTTCCTGGTATTTTGGAGGTAGCTGTTTTGTTGTAAACCAGGGAAGGAATATCCAGGGAAGAAAGTATTGTCAGGGTGATTTCATAAATATTATGGAAAAAAAGATAGGTTGTTGCAAACACCACTATGTTTTCACATTTCATTGAAGAGCAATGCCATACAGATAAAATAAATGCATATGTCCACACCCCCTAAATTATATCTGCCATATTCAACATTAAGCACTGTTCATCAAACTCATAGTTCTTCTAGCTGGCTTTTACTGTTACATCAAACATTCAGTTTTGAGCCCTATTATGTCCCAAAAACTTTAGGGACAACTTCACGGGCAGTGTGACAACAGTCCCATGAGCTGTGCTATTCCTCTGCATCCCACCTCCATAGGCAGGCACTGTCCCAAGTGATTTACAAGCACCTTCTTTTCTCTGAAAATGTGTGAGCCTCTGCAGGCATGCAGGAGCACGAGAGGGCAGCAGGGCAGGGTGCTGGGGCTCTGGGCAGGCCTTGTGCCCACGGGAGCCCCGAGGTGAGGCTGGGGTTGGAATTTGTGGGCTGCGTTTGTGCAGTGCCGCGTCTGCAGCCGGGGAGGGAAACGCGGTCAGCCCCCAGATCAGACATTCCACAAACATGTGGGAGAGGAAAAAAACCCCAACCAATAAACAAAGAGAAAGTGGTGGTCTCTGTTGTACCACAGCAAGCCTGGATGCTGAATAAATGCCCTCAGATGACATGGCAGGAACTAATAACTGGAAGTTGAAGTTGGACAAGCTGCAGTACATCGTAAGGCATAATTTTTAGAAATGAGAGTGGTTGATCTGCTACAATTTACCAAGGAACATCACAGAATTTCTTTGCTGAGCATTTTTGAGACTGAATGCTTTTTTCTGTCAAAGGTGCTCTTATTCAAATAGGAATTGATTTAAAGGAGCATTATGCCTGTGGTTATCATCCCAATCTCTGAGGCTTCAAAATCAAGGAAGAGTGGACTATTTAAGATTTTAAAAAGGGAGAGAAAAGTAGTGAGTTTTATACAACATTTAGATAGATACAAGAATTTTTCAGTTTGCCAAAGTTTCTGAAAGTCAAATAAACACCTCTGCCAAGGACACAAAACTTTCCCAGTTTTTGAATAAATTCAAAGTTATATTTATGAGATCTAATTGCACATCCCTCTTCATGCAGTGTGCTTGGAGTTCAGTTTATCTGCCTGGGAAAAGCAAAGGGAAGAACTCTGATTTTCCTCGATTGTAATGTATAATTCTAGGAAATCCAATTGCTTAAAAGACATTTAAACCTGTAATGTCATCTCAGTAGTAGAACATCCTTCAGAGATCAATCTTTCTGCCCCAAGAGCTCATGTTAAGTAAGAAAATGCTGTGGGTTTAAGTTAGGAATAGACTTTATACAAAGAACTGAGGCTTTCTTTCAGAGTTAATCTTTGATGGGCCATTTCTATCCCCAGCATCCTTTCAAGACAATCTGGAAAACATGGCAGAGACCATCACCTTCTGCTCCTCATCCCTGGGTATCACCTGATCCAACTTTTTCTAAGAAATTAGGGTTGTTGAGGTTATTTGGGAAGATGCTAGATCTTGACAGAAGTCTAATATCTTTAGAAATCTCTGTTTCAAGCATGTGTTGACTTCATCTAGAAAGGAGACTATTTTGAAAATGCAGCAATGAGAAAGACTGTAAATAAAACAAACCTTATAGCCATCTATTTTATTGCCCTTAACAACTGACCACTAGAGGAAGTGTCTGAGAAGCTGCAGGCATATCAAGACAGACAGCAGATTGTCTGAGCTATCATTTTGCTTTATTTTAAAATAATTTTTCAGCCTTTTTATTGTTTTCAGGAAGCTTTATTTCATTGCACAGCTTACAAAACAGCAGTGGTTTATTATCGACAAATGTCAAGAAAACTTGAGGAAGACAAGAGTCTTGAAAATACAGTGACCCTGAGGATCTTCATGTTCAGTCACTTTATAGCCATGAAGCTACTCATACCTGCTGTGCTTCAGTTTCTACTGCAGATACTGCTTTTCTGTAGTAACTGCATTTTTTATTATCTTACTTCAAAGTAAATACAGAAAAAAAAAAGGATACAGTATATCACATTATATAAAACTTTGAAATGGCAAGGCAGAATGCAAAAATGTGCCTATGTCTTCTTTCAATTAAATGGGAAAGAAAGTTGGGTTCTTGTAACTTATTTTAATAAAATACAATCTGATATGCATATTGGTGTTGGAAATTATTTTGTTTTTAACCTAAAGGACATGTGTTATGAAATAAAGGGTTTAGAAAACCCAAGGAAACAAAACTTCAAGGATAAAGGAGGCATACATGGAAGAAATAAAGAGAATACTGCCCCAAGTCACATGTTTTGAAAAAGAAATATTTGATTTTAAAACCTAGATGTTACTGTAAATATAGATAAAAGATTGCACAGTATTTTCAAGTATTAATAATGTTTAAAATGTAGAAGAATGAAAGACATCCTCCAATTTAATATTTTTATCCTGCAAGATTTACTTATGTTCTTAGTCAGTTGTTCCTGTTGTCATTACAGACTTTACTGACACTTCACTTGTGTCAATCAGCCTTTTAGGATAAAACACACAAGCTAAAAATTAAAAAAAAAAAAAAGCTGTTAAAGGAATTCAATTTTAAACACTTGGTATTTACAATCATCCAAATACTTAAAAAATGATATTTAAATTAGGAGTCAAAATGATGTTTTTTAATGGAAAAATCCCACAAATTTTGTAGACCCTTGCAATATAATTACACAAAATATTATATCTGGTAACTAGCTTGCCAAGGATGCATAAAACAACATCTGTACTTGTTTCACACCCTGCACATACCACATTCAAGCACGTTCAGTTATGTTCACTGCACATGGTTGTGTGACTTCAGGTATGCCTACACAGTGATGTTAAGCTGGAAAATAACACGAAACAGCACAAGTGAACATGGGACACAGCTTCAGCTGAGCTAGAGCTAAAAATGAGACTATAAACCCCCCAAGAATCCTGCATTTGGCTGTGCTTGGTATTTTGTGGTGTGTCCCTGTACTGATATTAATTTGCTGTAGTACAATTAAAGTTAGCATGGGACGTCCTGGCTATACTACACTTGCTTCCTCAAAGTGCTGTGCATGCATATTTTTTTTATTTCTCCAAGTCATGGAGTTTTATATCCAGCACTTTACTTTGCTTACTTTCATGTCCTCTGCTTGAGTATTATACAGGCATTTATAGGGCCAGAAGTATGCCTTGGCCTCTGTAATTGGTAAGAATAAACAAACTGTAAATCTAATGCAAGACTTTACAAGTTCTTGGCAATTGTGAGGGGATGACATCAGTCCTATTTACACTAAAGCCAGTTGTCAGATGAGATGTAAAATTTTATAGAATAGTGGAATATTGTCCTGGAGGCCAGATGTATCTTGTAAGCTGTCAGCTAGGCAGGCTTTGATTCATGCACTAGTATTCATAACTTCATTTTTTATCACAAATGATAATATTTACATTCAATTCCTCTGAGCAATTACCTGCCTCACTTTGTGAGTACCATGTAAAATTCCAAGATGATATAAACTATTTGTTTAAAATAGGACATATTGGTGTTCAGAAAAATTGGATTTATTATCCAGTGTGCTAAAGACAATAATTACACACTCAAAAGAGACTGATTGTTTATTTCACAGTTGTGCACCCAGGCCGGGGTGCTCAGTGATGTTCCAAAAATCAAGCACATTGCCTGTAAAAACTTTTTACACTTAGTAAAACACAAAAATATAGTAAAATTTCTCCCCGAATACAGTAAAATTGCAGTACAGATTCTTTTTGTCCATGTGCAGTTAGTGAGCTCCAAGTCAGTTTCAGCTCTGGGGGTCTTTCTGTTAAGACCACCACAAAGTTGGAGGAATACCTTCGGTCTGTGTAATGAATTCATGGGTCCAGTCATTTCAATTCCATGGCTCTGTGTGTGGTTAGCAGTACCTGATAAGGTCCTTTCCACTTTTCAGCTAGTGGAGTATCTTTCCAGGTTTTCAGGTCTCCACACCTGAAAGAATATATTGGTGACTTGATTGGGACTGGTGTTCTAATGAGCAAGTACCTGTGTAATAATCTCAAGGCTTTCTTTAAAAACGAGAGATGATCTGTGAAAGCTTTCTCTCTTACCACATCATCTGGTCAGTTCTTCCTGTCAGATTCACATTATGTGATATACCATACAGAATTTCAATTTTTTCTGGATTTCTCAGTACAACCTGGCAGACTCCTTCCAACGTATCAAATCAGTGATTGAAAAGGGAACTGTAACATATACAGGGTTTTGGTGTGCCCAATTCTACCTGCAATTGGACTAAATGCATCCCTTCATCCAGTCTTACCATCAGTATCTTCCTGGTCCCAATTATCACTATCCTATTCTTTCTCAGAGAAACCAACAATTGTACACCTTCTTCCTCTCTATCCACTTTCAGACACCTTTTCCCTATACTACAAGTGGAACAGCAACAAGATAATTTCTTTTTCTCTTCCATTATCATTAACACATTTGAATCAGACACCAATAACCTGCATTTCTTTCTTGTTTTATGCTCATTTCTCAATGAAAAAAAAATCTACACAGAGGATTTCATTTCATCTTCTGCAAAACAACAGTTGTAGCATGTTATTATAATTTAATGTTCCTATTTCTGTCAACTTTTCATCACAATCCAATTTATATTTTGGCCACCATTGAGTACAGTATTCCTTTAACTTCTAGTTTGTAAGAAGTTCTCCACCAAACTTGTCCCAATGATTCAAAAGATATCCTAATGGAGAACAAGGAGAAGGCTTAACTGATTGCCCTTCATTCCAAAGGCCATATTACTGTTTACATAGTAATTAATGTATTCCACATTACTACCCAAAAGAAAATGTTTTTTAACCATGACTTCATACACTCCACTTGTCACTCTCAAGCATGTATGAGTTTTCCAAAATTCTACTACACAATACCAATTCCATATCTATATAATATTATATCAACCCCTCTTACTTTATACAGTCTCTTTTCATATGTTGCATCTCTGTGTCTCAGCTGCTCCTGGATGAGGAGATACTTGCACAGTTCCTGACCAAAAGACCAATGGGCACTGGAGTTACACAGTGCTACAAGTGACACAGTTCTTTTATTAATTGGTGTTCCACATTCTCTTGGTTAATGAGACTCTCTTCCTTCTCATGTTAATTAGTCCATATGCTCAGTCTTTCTTTTCTTTTGGGTTGGTGGGTTTCTTGGGTCTGATGGTTGCAATCTGCTGCTGCTGGAATTACCCTTTACCCAGTCTGAGCCGATTGCCACATGATGCTGAGTTGACTTTATTAGTTTCTTTTTCTTGGGAGTTCTGCCAAGTGTGGGCCTTGTGGCCCATAAATTCTGCTTTCTTTGTGTCCATTATCAGTGTGACATCCTTCTTCCCAAGCTTTATTAACCACCCTTCTAGGTCTGAGATCATCAAAACTTGTCCAGCTGTAAACTTTAACAAGGCAGTATTAGTGACAAGTAATTTATCTTTCAAATACCTCAACATCACTGAGAGCTTGTTAGTTGCTCTCTGTTCCAATGATTAAGTCTCCTTCCTTTTTGGTTAGGGATGCCTTTAAACTGAAAGAGGGCAGGTTTAGGTAATATATTAGGAAGAAATTTGTAACTCTGGCACAGAGAAGCTGTGGATGCCCCATCCCTGGAAGTGTTCTAGGCCAGGCTGCATGGGGCTTGGAGCAGCCTGGTCTAGTGGAAGGTGTCCCTGCCCATGGCAGGGGGATGGGATCTTCATGGTCTTTGAAGTCCCTTCCAACCCAACCCATTCTATGACTCTATGTTGATGAAGCTACTCTTACAGCAACTGGTCTGACTTGTTTTTAACTCTGCAACCTAAAAAAAACCAGACAGCTTTCTATTCATAACATAAATTACACTACAAACACCATGCGCACACAACCTGCGGTTCACAAACTTTGGAATTTTAACTCGTGTAAAAAGCAGCGTGACCTTTATTAAGGAACTGGCAGTGCTTTCTAACCAGGCGGAGCACTCCCCAGCCGCCCGAGCCGGGAGATGCCCTCACGGCCCCCGCCGGCGGAGCGCGCACTCCGCTAATGGCGCCGGCCGCTCCGCCGGAAGCGGCGCCATTTCCGCCGGCGTTGCCGGGGGGACGCGCGGCTGGCGTGAGGGCCGGGCCGGGCGCTGCCGCTCCGCCGGGATGTTCATCTACCTGTGCAAGAAGGTGCTGCTGGGGAGGCGCGGGGCAGGCTGCCCTCGGGCAGGGGGAGCGGCCCTGGGGAGTCCCGGGGGTCGGGAGCGCGGAGCTCGCGGGGGCTGAGGGGAGCCTCGGGGCCGGACACGGTGCGGCCGTCCCGGAGCGCTGCCTGCTCTGCCCCGCCGGTGCCCTCGGCCTGGCCTGGGGCTTCTCCGGTCTCCGCTGCTCCGGCAGCTCCGCAGCTTTTCCCCCGACAGGCTTTGGACGCGGATTTTCCGCTGGGGACCGAAGCTCTGTGTGACCCCTGCCCCTGTTTGTGTTGCTCAGCAGACCTTTGCAGGTGTCCTGTTACTGTTATTTACTGCTTGAGTTCAATTGCTTGGCAGTTTCTCTAGTGCTTACAGTTCTGTCTTCCCTCTTTTTTTGCATGTACAGGTCTGTTAATAGAAATAAATTTATCTTTTGTGCTATTACAGGTGTCTCTGAGGTGTTCAGACAGACGATGTAAAATAAAATGTGTTTATTGCAACTGTGTAGAGATACAAATTACTTCTTTTTCAGATTGCAATTCCCGGTAGTATTCCATTAAAATGTATTTCCTGGAATAACCAAGGTTACATAGCCTGTGGTGGAGAGTCTGGATTACTGAAAGTTATAAAATTAGAAACACAAACAGGTAAATGGGGGTGGCGGTGGGTTTTTTTTTTGTTTTCTTTTTTTGTTGTTGTTGGTTTTTTTTGGTTTTTTTTTTTTGTTTGGTTTGGGGTTTTTTTTTTTTTTTTTTTTTTTTGTTTTTGCTTTTTTGTAATTTTTATCTTAAGAACAAAACCCACCACACTTAAGCATACGTTCTTCCCCGAGTTATTTGACACTGTTGCATATGCTTTAAATCTGTACATAACTATTATATATTTCTTCTAATATTCAATTTTTTCATCATTGTCTTATATATACAATTTTTCTCCAACTGCTCTTATTTGGCACATGAATAATTTGTCTACCCATTGTATCTGCTGAAGTTTTCTTCAGTGCTTCTTCCTTTTTTTTTTTTTAGGGCATATAATTAATTATTTTTGTGTAGGCTTCCTTTTTATTTTGGAACTTACTTTGTTATTTCTTTATTTTATTTGAATGTTTGCTGCCATCTTAATTATTTTACAGAGAAAGCTGTGTATTTTCTTTTAAATAAATATGTTCCAGAAAAAGTAAAATCCATTTTCAAAAATTTTTAAACTTCTTTTTCTGAATGTAACAAAATGTGGTAACCATAGGTATTGTTGTGGGGTTTGTTTTTCTTTGTTTTTTGTTGTTTTCCTTTTTTTTTTTTATTTTGTTGACTTTTTCCTCTGAAAAACTGTTACACTATAAGGCATGTATCAATTTGGATGACAGATGTGAATAGCAAGCACATGGAACTGAGGGGTGGAAATTTCATCCTGCAGTTACTATGTACTTCTTTTTAAGTGGTTCAGTTTATGTAAATAGTGATTACAGCTTCAGTATTCATAGAAACATGGTAACATGTATGCTTTGTTAGGTTTATTTTCATGGTGAATTTTGTTATTTTTTAGATGAGGCAAAGATAAAGGGACTAGCAACTCCTAACAACATTTCTGTGACTCAGACTCTTGAAGGTCATAGTGGTAAGTGTATTTGGGCATTTGGTCTGCTTTTAGTTAGTTTAGAAATACAAGATTTTGTGAAGCTGATAGAGTAATTTTGGTAACTTTTTATTGTAAATCCAAAATAATGGTTGTGAGTATTCAGCATGGTATGTAACAGCTTGGCTGTGTATTTTTACCATGATATATTGGATATCTGTTGGGTTTTCTTTTTAATAATGTCTGTGAGATTACGTGTTGCAGTAGCGTTCCGTTTTCTTCTGAAGAAATGAAAATTGGTTCAGTAAACTTGATTTTTTTGTTAAATATATTGTAATTTTTGCTTTTATTGACAAATTACAGAATGTGTCTATGCAGAGACTGCAGTGTACAGACAAAGTTTAGAGAGGTTAGAAAGCAAGCCAGAGAAGTATAATGTGTGAAAGTAAAAATTGAATGCAGCAAAATTAGGGAGAACTTCTCACATGAGAAATGTTGAATGGTCATCAGCCATGGACAATGGGATATGAAGAGGATGCTAAAATCCTTGCATTATTTGAGTAAGTGGACTTTTTTATGAGGACTTGCAGTTGAAATCTGCCAAGAGTCAGGTTATTTTAAGGGCTTAACTAAATAGGATTGGAACAAATTAATTGTGAGGAATTGATTTAGTGAATACTTTGAATGGATGTCTTCAAATCTGAAATAGGTTACTATTACCTTTAAAATCCCTGACAATCAGAATATCTTTGATTGCATCTGTTGATAACTGAAACACTAAAATGGAAACACAGTTATTGACTGAAACACTAAAAATGGAAAGGATACAGAGAAAATGGGTACCCAGCAGTGAGGGGAGGAAAAAGTGTGGTACAATTTGATCTGCAGTATGGAACTGATAAAATTTCAAACATTTCAAATATTTGTGAGTGGGATCACATATGAAGCTTGAGGGTCTGAAGGATTTGTGTGTGGAGTGCTCTTTTGAGTAATTGTCAGGGAGATTATGTTTTAAAAGTGCAGCAACAGTGAGGCTCAGACTACGAAGAGGAATAAAAACCCCAAACTTCCTACAACTGTAAAATTTTGTCAGTGTCCCAAAGTGTCAGAGGTGGTCAGAAACTGCAAAACCATGATTTGGGTTTTGGGTGTGGAATCAACAGTGAGCAGGATTTGGAGAGGAAGTTGCTCCAGTGGGTGAGTACAAAAGCAAAAGGAGCTCTTGGGCAGAACTTTGAAAGAGGAAATAAGTGATGCTGAAAGAAGCCTACAGCTAAATCAAGTCAGCAATGTAAATTTCTGAAAAGCTCCAGGTTGATTAAGTTGGATGTTGTATTTTTTATTAACTACTTAAATAATGCCAATAAAAAGCTTTTTATCACTTTCTAGGTTTTGTTCAGGTTGTGACATGGAACGAACAGTATCAAAAATTGACTACCAGTGATCAAAACGGCCTCATCATTGTGTGGATGATGTACAGAGGTATTCTGCAGGATAAACTTGAGATGGGATAATCTGTGTCATGAGAAGTATTTTTTTCCTTCACTTGCAGTTTTTACTGTTGTTTTTCAGAGTGTTTATTTTGCAGATTGTATAGCTCAAAATAGTTTTAAAATTATTTTCAAGTTTTATTGTAATACTTGTCTATATTTTTTTTAATAGTGTAGTCACATGAGACAAGGCACTTGTCCCACAGAGCTACCATAGATGAAGATATAAGTACTTAGCCATGTGCTTGATAAACTGCTCTAAATTTTTTATCTCTGTTGCTTGGAATGCAATATGAAAAATATATCGTGCAGTGAGCACAAACATGTTAGTAGACTACAAAAACTTATGAACACTGCATAAAGCATCAATTAAATACTCTTATAAAACCTATCTTTAGAAATGTTTAAGGTAGTGAACCAATATGAGTAACCAGTGCATGACTATAATTATCTTTTATTGCTCTTGACCCTTTCACACACATATACTGTGGTTCACTGGAATTCATTTAGAAGCCAGCAAACCTCACAGTCAAAGTAACCACTTTCCAACATGTGGGAAAGAGAAAGAAAATAAAGGGTTTTCCTATTCTCTTGGGAATTTTAGTTTAATGAAAAATGGAAACAAATAAAATCCTAGCTGTTCTTCTCATTTCAGGAGTAAAGAATAAAAGTCTTTCTGGCTGATACATGGTGGCTACTGTCACATAAAAAATCTGTTAGTTTTGAAAAATAATCAGTAAATTACTTATTACCTATTCCCAGCAAAGCCAGTTGTTCCCTCTGTTTATGTTTCCTATTTTATTGTCAGTTCTGAAATTACTTAAGCACAGAGCTCTTTCTGTAGGCCCCTCTTGGTCTTTGGCTCCCCTCTCCGAGTCCTCATTCATCACCATTGGCTTTGGAAATGAGCAGCTCTCATGGGAACACTGGCTTTCACAGTAACTGTGTCTGTGTCTTCTGGGGACACTGTAGTGTAGTCTTGCTAGGCTTTTGCTAAAAGGACAGTTCAGTGGTTAGCATGTACCTTGAGTCCTCTAAGCTTTATCAAATCACAAGTGTAACTCAGTTTTTCTTTCACTAATGATAGGCTCTTGGTATGAAGAGATGATTAACAACAGAAATAAGTCTGTGGTTCGAAGTATGAGCTGGAATGCTGATGGACAGAAGATTTGTATTGTATATGAAGATGGAGCTGTGATTGTTGGCTCAGTGGATGGTAAGATTTTAGGCCCTACTAATTGTTGTGCTATCACACAAATTGGTTTGTAGTGCTATATACAGAATGTCTCTGTTTCTCTGGGTAAACATAATTAATAGTTACTTACTAGTTGTTGCTTTGACTTCAGCTGTTTTAGTTTTTACATTGGGAGCTTGCATCCTGGTTTTAATTTTGTGGTATGTTTATTAAGTCAATGTTTTGTTCCAGGCAATCGCATCTGGGGAAAAGACTTGAAAGGCACCCACCTGTGCCACGTGGCCTGGTCTGCCAACAGCAAAATTTTACTCTTTGGAATGTCAAATGGAGAGATTCACATTTATGACAATCAGGGAAATTTTATTGTAAGTTCACTGTGGTATAATTAAGGGTTATAATTACAACATCAGGGTATAATGATAATTATGTATAAGGATTATAATTTAATTCAACAGATATAAAAGCTCACTTCCTTTTAATTTATTTAATGCTTATTTAATTGGTGGACATCAGTACTGAGAACTGGATGACCTCCTACACAGAGCTTTTATTCAAGAGTTCTTTAGCTTTTTATTATAATTACTTCTTTTTTTTTGGTAGCTACATGATTATCACATCAACTAATGCCTTTCGGCCTTGCAATAGTTACTGAAAATGTAGAAGTAGGAATGGTCAGACTGGTGAAATTAAGTTAAATTCATTGGGACATCTGAAAATCTTTACTTTCAAAGATGTTGGTGATGATAGGTCAGATTTAATATTTTTTAGCTGTTGTTTTTTTCCTTCTTTCATATTTGGAGGAACTAATGCTGGCTTAAAGGATATTGACTTCTTACAGCTTCTGCTTCTTAAAGTATTAGCATGCTTTTAGAAAAAGCGACAGTTTATTTTCCTATTGCTCCTATTATTCTTTAGAGAAATCCTGGTAGTGAGTAGAAAAATAAAGGGAAATAGGTATAGTATATTGTTGAATTCGTGCAACCTAGATTTATTTATTTATTTATTTATTTATATCTACTTACTTAAAGTATTGCAATATGGCTATAACAAAAGTAAAATACTGACTTTAAAATCTGTGTGTTTGAGACCATGTTCTTAACTTTTAGATGCTTAATATGGTGAATTTTCTTCTCCTTTCCATTACCTTCCTAAGAAAGTATCTGCTATCCTTCCCATTTTCTTTTCTTTATCCTCCCACTGTATCTTTCTTTCTTTGACTGTGTGAGTCATAGTATTTCCAACTGCTACAAATTATTGAAATTCTTTAAATAATTTGCTGTCATTTCCCCCACCATATTAACAATATGTATGGTTGTGCTCTCTCTCCCTCTCCTCCTCTCTCCCATAACTTACCTGGCATTCCTCTTGGAATTGATTCAGGAATACTCTTATCTTTCAGACAAACCCTTACTTGTGTTACCAGGTATTCTGGGCTAGTTATTGCAAAAGTTCCTTTAATTGGTGTTCTAATTTGGACACTAGTTTTTTCCAATTATTTTTATATGTTATTCAGTAAACTTTAGTCAAGAAAAATCAAACAAAAGTTTTTTTGGTTTGTTATTTTTTTGTTGTTGTTGCATTTTCTTTTGTTGTTTTTTAAATATTGTGCCTATGAATGGTTTGAAATAGTTTGCTGTGTTCCAGGGGGTTTCTCATGTCTATGTACATGTGTCAATGGTGGTCTTTTTATGTTGTTGGTCTTATTTAAGTTATTTTTCTAAGAAGGAAAATGCCAACATTAGGATACTTCTTTGTAGTTAAAAATATATATGTTTTTGTATGTCTGATCTGGCTTTTATTATATGAGGAAGTTTTTCAAACCCATACAATTCTGATAACTTCAAAATTTTTCTTGGGGCAGGAAAACAATTTTGCTTAGACATTTTGTGTTTTGCACGTGTCAGTAGAGATTTAAATTATTCTTAAATAACATGTTTTCTGTGACTTTACTTAACCATTCTTGTGCAGGTGAAAATGAAGCTGAGTTGTTTGGTGAACTTAACTGGAGCCTTCAGCCTTGCTGGGATACACTGGTACCACGGTACCCAAGGCTACATTGAGCCCAACTGCCCTTGCCTTGCTGTCTGTTATGATAATGGGAGATGCCAGATAATGAGAGATGAGAATGACTACAGTAAGTACAAATTAGAGAGTGCAAGTTACTGAGCTTCTCTTGACCCAAAATGCCTACTTGTGTTGATATTCTTTATGTTTATTCCTTAAAAACTAGATCCTGTTTTGATTGATGCTGGTATCAATGTAGTGTGTATTCAGTGGAACTCCAATGGAAGCATTCTGGCACTGGCAGGCTCCCTCAAAGCAGCTTCTCAAGATAAAGATATCAATGTTGTGCAGTTCTACACTCCCTTTGGCGAGGTAAAAATATTTGATAAGTTATATGAATGTTTTGGTTTTTTTTTTCTTTCTGAATTTTGTTATGTTTTGCTACAAGGTCATTACTAGTGGAATTTGGATGCCAGAATGTAGATGTTTAGTGCTCTCAGATATCCATCTGGCATATCCATATGAATCTGGAAACAGGACCATGTACACTTTTAGAGCAGTATAGTGGCCAGTGTGAAAATCCCAAGTGCCTCTCAAAACACTAGTGATAGGATAAGTGTGGTGTCTGCCTTTGAACACCAGATCCCTGAGATGAGACTATGGAAGATAAGCAGTTTGGAGCTTAGGCAGCAGTCAAGATGTCAACATCTGTGTATCAAATCCAGAAGTACTTGTCTTTCTGCACTGGCTGTGTAAGAGACCTGAGCATCTCTAGATTAGAAGCTGAAAATACAGCAGTGAATGAGTATTAAATACTTGGTATGTGCTCTTTTATATGGAATCAGTAAAACTGGCAAAAAGGCATCCTGTATCAGTAAAAGCAATGGCTCAGAAACTTCAGAAAAACTAATTTTTTTTCTAAACTTCATAACTCGGCTGTTAGGGCTATTGTTTTGTAAATGGTTTTTGTCCATCCTGGCTTTTTATAGTAGATTAAATGTTTGATAGTTGAGAGACAAGTGCTCAGTAAATTTTTGTTGTGCTATTTTTGCCTTGCCAGGTAATATCCTGTTCCCTCTTAGTAATACAGGTGAAAATGAGCAAGTTAGTGTTATGTAGCAGAGTGTGATGAAGTCTGTCCCTTGTACAGAGGAAGTACTGGCCAGCTCTGAGCTGTGCTGTGACAGGGGTTAACATCCCACATCATCTGCAGGGGTTGCCGTAGTTGAAAGGATTTAATGGAACCAAAGGTTTTGGCAATAATGTTGCATCTCTGGTTGCTGATGTCCTTTGGATTAACTAAAACTGGTGTTCCAGATTTTGTATTTAGTGTTTCAATGTAAATTCTTCAGGTTTTAGAACAGTTTTGTACTTGTTCTGATACTCAGATATGGTCTTAACTTTTTGGAAGATGGTATTTTCCATGAATAATGTGTGAGCAGTATTTTGACTTGGTATTTGCATCTAATCAAAGGCACAAAATAGGTACTCAAAAGGAAAGTTAGACCTGAGCAATTTACTCTACTTAGTAAAATGTATTTTTTAAAGCCTAAGATTATTCAAAAAAGTACAGTAAACAGTAGATAAGTGTATATTCTACTACATACAGCTGTATTATTTGCAACTAAAAAGGTACCCACAAAGAAGTGCTCTGTGGGACTAAGATTATAGCTTTTCAAAACATTTCTTTTTTCTAATTGTTTCCTTCATTCAATTTAAAAATCTTCAGCAAAATAAAGATATTGGAAAAAAGATGGAAAGTGTACCTACTGCCTTTCTTAGATTCTTTTGGAAGGGGTATAGAGAAGAGGAAAATGTCCATTGCCTCCGTGAAAATTGTGTACCTCTGCAGCTAATGAATTGCATGCTCTTGACTTGGAGTAGGGATATGTTTTTATTTGTTTAAGCTGTCATCTGTAGTTAAGAGTGCTGTACATGAACTGATTAATACACTTCCAGTGTCTGTGAAACTTCTGAGGCATGTCAGGATCAGTGCTACTGCTGTGTTTTAATTGTGACTGAAATCATAAAGGTGATTCAAATTACCAACCAAAGGGAATAATGTTTGTACTGTCATTCTCTATCTGTTTATTTCTTCAAGCTTGAATTATCACTGAGTCCTGTTGTTTCTTTCTCTCTGGAGAAATAAAACACTAATGAAAAAAACAACAAACCAAACCTAAGGTGAAAGAACACGTTATGGTGTACACCTTAAATATCTCTCTTTCTTTGCATAGGTATTGCAATCTGAGAATTGTTAAGGGATACTGTAAAGAAAATCTATAGGGTTTTTTTCAACAATTATCAAAACTGTCATTTATGTATTTTAGAGTAGCTTTCCTGTGATAAATTCAAATCTTTTTCTTTCCTTGTTCTAACCAAGCACTTACGTACGCTGAAAGTTCCTGGCAAACAGATCTCTTCCTTATCCTGGGAGGGAGGTGGACTGAAAATTGCACTGGCTGTTGATCATTACATATATTTTGCAAACATTCGTCCACATTACAAGGTATGTAGTAATGTGAAACTAAATTGTATTAGTAAGTTTCCTGTTACTTATTCTCTTTCTGATCAGATTGAAAAAGTAGCTTGCTCTAATATGCATACATATGTACATATGTGTGTGTGTATGTATATATATGAAACTTGTGCTTAACTTAGGATTGCAGCTTGATCAACACTACTGACTTGCAGTTTCAGTGGAATGTGAGGATCCGTCTTGGTGATGCAGTGACTTAGCCATTGCCTTTACAATGCATTTGGAGTTTCTTTTTCACAATAAGGAAACAGAACTGGGCACGATTCTAAATTTGGTAGGACTTGAGGATGTCATTAGGTAAGGCTGCTGTGTTTTCACTGCTATTTGGTTAACTAGGTTGGGCTGAGTCATATGATGGGAATTGTTTGAGCCTTACTTTACTGCCATTTTTTTAGTGGTGAATTATTCATTTGAGCCTAGAAAGCTGAGTAGATACCTGAACAATAGGAGTGAGAGCAACCTGGTAGATGTACTTCCTGCTTACATTTCAGTTCTCAATATACTTCTTACAAGTGTGTATCATCTAATTCTAAATAATGTTTTATCTTGTTTACCACCTGAGTTTTTTCATTTGGTGTCTTTTTTTTTTTTAGGAGTTAGAACTATTATTTCATTTAAATTTACAGTTTAACAAATAATAGCAATTACTGTCCAGTACAGAGTATTGTATACTTCTTTTCACAGCAGAGGATATGTTCTTTAATCATCAGTGTGTAGTCACTGTAATTAGAGAGAGTGCAATGTGAGGAACATCCTGCAGCTATATTGAAATGTATTTTAGTCAGGGAGTTGTAAACACAAATCTGCTAGGAGGCTTTTTCAAATAGTTTGTTGTAAATATTCTGGAAAAGACTTTGGAAATCTGAACTGGAAATTAGTCTTGCAGGAAATGCTACCTAATGTTTATTCTGGGAGATGTGCAACAGCTGGAACACAGGCCTGTTGCTTTTTCTTAAACTCATCAGCATCTAGGAGGCCATGTGTGTTTCAAGATCTGGCACAGTTTGCAAATTAATAATACTTTGAAACTTTGGTTTTAGGAACTGCATGTGTAAGCTCATTTTTTTCCATTTTGCACAATTGAAAAGGAAAGAGATATGTTCAAATTAATTTATTTCTGCAGCAAATAAACTCTTTATATGTTGATAGTGTACTCTATTTCAATTTTAAATATTTTTATGCTGAATGATACATGTTTTTCTTCATGTTTTACTTCTGCTGTGTTTTGCTAATATAAGCAACTCCCTTTTAGGAGCTACGTATTCTAAAAGGTGACAGTCATTAAATGGGAGTGATTCAAAGCTATAATTATCTTAGGCTGGATTAGAATTAATGACCTGGAGATGAAGAGTTAATATAACATTATCAATCTACTGAATAATCTGTCTTCCTCTATTTTTGAATAAGCCATAATAAGACAAAGGAGGTTTTCAATTAACAGGACAGTAAAAACTATGAATTGAGCTGATCTTTTTTTAACCTATTCAGTTTGCAGGAGTTGTGATACTAGTTTAGAGTCTATGGGCCTATTCTAGAAGTTCTTCTGTTGATGCTGTAGTTTATCACTTTGGTTTCATTTCCTGAGGAGTGTGGGAGCCTCTCTTGCCAACACTAATAAGCTTTCTCTTCTCCCTCTCTAGTAGATGTTGATGCAGAGAATTCTATTAGATTTTCTCCAATTCCATTGTCTATCTTTAAGATTTTTGTTTAATGTCTCATTTATTTGACAGCTTCACCTCCTTCCTATTTTCTGATTCTGTGGTATTAGAAAGGATTTTCATTATTATATTTTGTACTTTGAATCAGTCAAATGCAATAAATGCATCCTCATGTATATTCTCTTTCTTTTGCCTTTTTGCCCTTTCTCCTACTTGTTACAGCAATAATTACATTCTTCTGGGAGGAGGGGAGGGGTTTTCTCATGGTGCTAATACAGAAGAAGTGATGTGAGTTATTACAGTGCTCCTATATAATTGCACTGTTAAAGGTATTTATTGTATTTCCTTTGGGAAATGAACTTCAGGTTTCTGAATCAGTAGTCACAAAGCAAGCATTTTCATGGCAAAAACCATCATCACACTGGGTGTTTCTGAATACCTGCTGAACTATATAACTATACCTGCTGAACAAGGAGGAAGCATGGCAGAGTGAGATCTTGTCACTTTTTAAGGCGGATCCTTCAGTTCTGAAGGGGATAGAAAAAGCTTGCTGTGATAGAAAAGCTTCTTTTGCCAGTTTAATATTATTCCAATATCTTACTATGTGAGCTGTGTTCTCATAATAAATCAGTTTGTCACTTGACAGGTAAGAAATTTTGAATACTAGTTCTGTACATGAAATAAACTCTTTCATGGCTGGAATAATTCATTATTGAATTCTTTTAATTTCTGATTGTTTTTACCACCATTGTGTCTCTTGGCAGTGGGGTTACTGTTCCAATACCGTTGTTTACGCCTATACCCGAGCGGACCGCCCAGAGTGCTGTGTAGTCTTTTGGGACACAAAAAACAATGAGAAATATGTGAAATATGTCAAGAGCCTCATTTCCATAACAACTTATGGGGACTTCTGTGTTTTAGCAACTAAAGCAGATGAAAATCTGCCTCAGGTAAAATCTGTTTAATTTTCAATTGAAATGCTCTGTTCCGCATGTCAGTTCTTTACAGCCAGAATAAGATGAAATGTAAAATTCTGAATCTGTCTTAGAGTTGTGTCAGTTGTCATTTGACAGAATGGCAGAATGGGCTCAGTGTTCAAAACCATAGAATCCCAACAAAGTAACTGATTCAAAGTAACAGCATCTACGATCCACTCCTTGTAGCCATTAGTAACCTAATAAAAACTGCAACCTTCCAGATGAATGTTTCTTCAGAAATATTTGCAACAGTTCTCCAGAGACAACGTAAAAGCATCAGAATGGTAATGAATATTTTGTCAGTCAGAAATGGAAAAAAGGGTCAATTTTTTAGGTGATATAAGTTTATTGCAAACTCCTTTGTTAATTAATTTATTTTACGTGTAATCACAATTGATGAATGTATTATTTGGTTAATGATTGTTCTGTTAGTGTGATACTGCTACATGATTTTTCCTGTGCAATCATTTCAGAATTGTTTTCTGTATCACTTATATATTGCTTACAAAGGAGGAGCAGGAGACAGAGTCATTTGGTGCCATGGTAAAAAACCCCAAACATGCTGTAGTGCTGCTTTGCTTCATTGTGTTATAAATGGTATACTGTCATATGGATTGAAAAGATGGGGTCGTGGCCATAAACATTTGGTGAAGTTGAGTGTAATAAAATATTTTTTTTTGTAATTTTAAAGGAGGAAACAAACAGTTGAAAGACTTAGTGTAACTCTATTGAGCAAAAATAAGGGATTTAATTTTCACATCTGAAAATTACAGATAAAAAGGACCTATCATTTGTTTTGAAATGGCTCCAATGTAATTATTAACACTGTGAGTTGCCAGGTTTTAGGAAATTAAGTGCATAGGCTTAAGGATAGCAGTTCATTAGAGTTGTCTGAAAAACTGATTTGGTTTACAAGAGGTTTTGATCATTAGAATTGTGGTTTCAGAATGGCAGAATTTAAGCAATAGCTAATGGGAAAAAAAATTACTTACCTTCAGCAGGACCTGTTTAAAGATATTGCAAAATTGTCAGTAAATTAAGAAGCACTTCATGCTGATTTCCATAACAAGGCTGGATAAATCAGCCAGTGGAAACTCCCTGCCCTGGCACCACGTGTGTGGGTCATAAGCTTGTCATGGATACTGTTACTCCGTTCTCCTTGACAGGCTCTGATCTGCTGACTTGGAGTGTCAGAAATTACTAGAAAGGGCATAAAAGAGAAATGTATTGTAGACTGAATGTGGGAATAATTTACCAGAGAAGAATTAATGTAAAGATGATGGAAATGAAAAACAGAGTAATAAAGCTGTGTGTGTTTTCCTACACAGGCAGAGGCACAACATATTTTTTTTTGAAAATAGAAATCTGAGAATGCTGGTGAAAAGTTTAACTCATGAACAAAAAATAAAAATACTATTTACATGAGGTACTTATTGGTGGCCAAACCGGAAAAAAAAATAATGAAAAGAAATCCATGTTCAACTCTTTTTCTTTGGAAGAATGAAGTTCATACAGTAAATGAAAAGCTTAATTGAGCTGCTCTCATATGATGAATAAGATGTCAGTCTATCAGTTTAAAAGGGTAGCTGTACAGTTACTGTAGTCTGCTACCACAATTACATGGATTGTTTAGGAGGTGAAAGAGCCATGAAAAACTAATTATCTTTCATTTCCTGGAGAGTCAGGGTGACAGCTCATGGGTAATTCACATTTTGGTAGCCCTGTATATTTTATTTATTTTAAGCTTAAAAATGTGACAATAAAAGTTGATCCTTTACTTCCACACTTCTCATTCAAGGCATTTCCCTATGCAATAACCATTAAGATATTTAATCCTTGATTAGACCTGAAGAAATAAATACATAAACTACAACAATGAAGTATTATTGTCAAGTGAATTGTTATGTATTTGCATCTTCCTGAATTTAACAGCCCAGTCTCTGAGGTAACTGCTATTAAAGCCTTCCTGAGTAAGATTACAAGAAGGGAAAAACTTGAAAAAACCCCTCATCACTTCTGTGGTACCTGTGATACTGCAGGGCAGAGGGAGAGCCTTATTGACAATTCTCCCCACACTGTTACCCTCTTGGATCTTCGAGGAGATGGAGATCTGCAAAGGATAGAACAAAGATCCTAACTGCTGGGAGTTTATTAAATTATCATTTTCATGAGCAGCTGATGAGAATGAAATCCCCCAATCAGGGGTGTATCGTGCCTGTAAATACTCTCAGTGCAGCCTGTGCCTCACACAGCAGCAGAGGAGACGCTGCCTGCCTTGCCCATGTGTTGTTTTTGGATTTTGCCTGGTAGATTTGCTCCCATGCATAAAGCAGGTGGTTACTTTCCTGTTTTGTGTTTGTTCTTAATTTATAGTGCTAATTGGCAAATAGCTCTCGTTTACTCTCAACTGCTCTCATGCTTATGCTGCTTTATATTTGCTGCAGTCACGGTCTCTGTGTTTTCTGTTGCTGATGAGCATGAGAATGTGTGGCATGGGTTATGAGATGCACCTTCACAGAAAATTAGCTTACTGATCTACAAAAAGTGTGGTAGTAATAACACTTGCTCTTATTTCCATACAGTATGTGCTGGTTCTCTGCAATTCTATTGGCACACCCTTGGACCCAAAATATATTGATATTGGTAAGCAACTTGCAATAGTCTTATTCTGTAATCTGTGTTGGAATTGACCTGTTAGTTATCTTTTAGTAAAGAAAATGGCTTATCAAACCAGTAACATTCCTTGTCAAATTGGCTAAACTTAAACAGATTCTTCCAGTTAATGCCAACTATAGATAACATAATTTTAAAAAATTGTTACTTTTCTTTATTTCTTTTTTTTTTTAATGGATGTCTTTTGGCAATTCAGATTTTCCTTCACAACAGTGGTAATTCAACTTCTTTATAAGAAAATGTACTTTGAAAAAGGTCCATTTGTATCAGAGGAAGTGAAATAATTAGATTTGGACTTTCATTTAAAAATAACTTGTTGCTGCTTCCCGAATAACTTAAACATCAATTTCTTGTGTTTCAGTGTTGAAAATATCCTTATTTTCATCACAGTTGTTTTATGTAAGTAGTTTCAGATTATAAATTAAAATTCAATTAAAAAAAAATCCGTGGATTATAACACAAGTATGAGGACACCTCCAAATCCTCACTAGTGCTGAATTCCAGGCTTTCCCTACTGCTTGTTTGCTGGAGGTGTGGTACAGAACATTGCCAAGTAATTGCAAGCCACTGTTTTCAGTGATTTTTGTTTGAGAATCCAGATAATTGATTATTTTCCCTTTAAACAGATGAGGGAATTGTAGTCAAACTGACAAATTAATTTCTTTCTTTTTTTACTAATTACTCCACTTTTGTTTATTTCGGTTTTTGCTTTATTTTTGGTTTGTTACCCAAATAGATCTGAATTTGGATTCAGAGTAGACACTGTGAACCCTGTTTGCAGTTTTCTTTTTGAACCTTGATTCTTTGATTAACTTTCCTGTTTTGTTGCAAAGCTAAATAACTTATTTAAATTTATAAAAGTATTTGTTTTTGAATGAGAGGGAAGACTCTATTATGACAATAAACCTATTTTTAAAAAATTTTAATAATGTAAATTGCCTTCTAGAGCCATTGTTTTATCCTCTTTGCAAAAAGAAACTTTTCTGGCTAAATTAGTCTGAGTAGAGAAGTTAATTTAAAGTGCGAATACTTGGTATTAATATTAAACAACAAACAGTGATTCTCTCTGATAAAATTGATGGGTAAAGTGTCTAGCAAAGTTTTGTTAAGATAGAAATGATGAGGAAAGTAAGGTGAAGAACTATTGAACAAGGAAGTAACAGCAATTCACTGAAGAATATAGGTAGGAGAAAAATCTACCAAGGACTAGAAATAATTAAGATCATAAATTATTATTTTCCTTTGCTTCTAAATGGTTTTATTCTTTATTATATATAAATTAAATTGTAAGTATCATTTTCCAGTGTTCAATTTTTCAATGATAGGAGGAGGAAATCAGCTGTGAGTCATACATATATTTTGAAATTTGTGCCCTATATTGTAGATCATAATTAAAATTAAGAGTATATTCTGATGAATCAGTTTGACTACTTTGTCATATGGAAAGTTTATGAAATATTGTGGTAGTTTTAGTCTTGTGATTTCTGGTTTTGTCCCTTTGATGTCCTCTTGCCACCTTGTGCATAGAGGGGCCATATAAGAATCTAAAAGAATAACATGTCCAAGAGGTTCAATACCAAAAAGTTTAGGAAGACTGGAGGAAAAAACATCAATAAGACAACCAAACAATGCCCTCCCCTGCCAAAAAAACCCCAAACAACCCAAACCAAAAAACCTAAACTCAAAACAGAATCCCATGAAGTAAGATGATGTGATGGGTGGTAGTGGTGTGAGTTGGGTGTGTGTTTTGTCCATGTCCTGTCTCTGCTCCTGATCAGATGTCTACACTGTATGTGCCCACTGGTTTCTTGGATTTACTTGGCAGGCAGGATTGGGGTGGTGGGAGAGGGTTCAGGGACTTAGAGGGAGTAGTTCTTCTCATTTCTGCAGCTGACATCTAAAATAACTGGAGTGAATCATTGATGAAGGGGGTCTTTTTGCTCTCCACTGGGTATGAAGAAGCCCAGGGCAGCCAGCTCATCTCTGTCAGAGATGTCTAAAATTAGGTGAGATGAATCCCACTCACTGTTAAAATTAGCTTTGCATGTACATGTCTAACTCTGCATTTAAACTCTTTGCTTTGCATTTTTCTAGTGTTCAGTTTATGTGAACTTTCTGAATCTATCTGTGAGAGTTTTTTTATTTTTTTATAAACAAAGGCTTCTTTATGATTCTGCCAGTAGGTCCCATCTCCTACAGCTGCCTGTACACAAGTGAAGAATCTTTCAGTAACTGGGAACACTTAAAAAGAAAGGCTGTTTAATTGAAAAATGCTGTTGTTTTTTCAGTTGTACTTGAATTGTGCCGAAGAGATTAAACAGTTTCTTCCTTTAGCATAATGAAGCTTTCTGCACTCTGCTGCTGTTCCCTCCAATACTGGAGGACCAGTTTAGTGCATAGATTTGCTCTTTCCTACAGTGAGTTGACTTGTGAAAATGCTGGGCCTTATAATGTTCAGCCTCATGATGGACAAATACCTGAGGTTAGGAATATTTAAATTTTTTGAGTCCTGAAAAATTTCTGTAGCCTCAATTACAAGCGAGTCTTTCATTACTGTATTATACAGTCAAAGATTCAACCTTTTTTTTTTAAAATATATGCATCCTGTAAGACTCCTTTAAAGTTTGCTCTCCAAACTTGCAGAAGGGATTGAAGGTAAAAGTGAAAAGCAAATGCCTATAAATGCAACTCTTTTGGAACACATTGTGCTGGTTTCATCATAGTTACTTTCCTCTTTTTGTAACATTTGAAAATGCAACTTTATAGAACAACTAGAAATATTTACAACATAAGGTCAGTTGGTGTGAGAGGTTGACAGCTGTACATAGTCAAGGTCCTATTGTACAGTATATCATGCTGTTTATCACAGTTGGAGCTTTTTGGCAGTAGGAAGTGTAATTGTTCCAGTTTGACAGCATGCTGAACTTAAGCAGCTGTCTGGCCTTGCAGAAGTGAATAGAGAGAGAAGACCTTGTAAAACCTTAAGGAGAGACCTTCAGAAGAGAGGAGACCTTTCTGAAAGTTCTCTAAGATTCTGGTTGATGCATGATTTCTAACAAAATAATTGTCCTTCTGCTCTGTTCATAAATGAGGAAAATCAGCATTAAATCAATTATCTGGTGAGAGTCATTATTAATAGTTTAAGAAATAAGCAGTTAAACATTAACTTCTCTTTTACTCAAGATAATTGGATGGGTGTTACTGACTTATGAAAAATGCTATTATCTGTTTGTAAAATTCTTTTTTCCCCCTCTTCTTTCTACTAATACAAATTTCCAGGTTATTTTCTTTTAGTAAGCTAATAAATTGTTGCATAAAGTTCTGTCCATAAAAAGTTAAGTAATTTTTGTTTTGAACTCTTGTACTTAATTGCCATCTTGTACTACGTGCCATCTTTCAGAGTGGCTAAAGTACACTTAGGTTGTTATTTGATTTTCATAAATGCTGGTGAAAAATGATTTCTTATGTTGTGGAATATCCTCAACAGACCACTTGGTATCTGCGTGCTCCTGCCTTTTCGTGAGTGTGTGCTCTTCACTCTCATGAGTCTAAACTGTATTTTTTGGCTGGCTGTAATTACTGCAGATTGAATGGGCAGATAGCTGTGGTTTCTAGCAGACTGTCCCTTGTTGGAGCAATAATCACCTGGAGCTCTACTGAACATAAAGGGTTCACTCCTCCTTGAAACTTAGGTGCCTTGCAGACCTCTTGGGCAAAGCCTCTTGGACTTTGTCCTGGTGGGAGATGGATAGTGGAGAAAAAGAGACTGCTCATGTAGGGATGCTAAGCAGCTGACAGAGCATTCAAATAATGCATCTGAGAACGTGTGTTAAGACACAATTTGTCTGAATTGTCAATTTATAATATTTTATAATACTGTTTCAACAAAGCACTATTAATCTCCTAATGACAAAGAAATTGTGACATTATGCAATGTTTGATTCACCCTCAGGAGAAATAAATCTTATGTTGTTGGGCGCCAAGCCAGTAGCTCAAGTAAGGCTCAAAAAAAGAAGTGCTTATTTCCTTTATTCTGTTGAATTCTTAATTATGTCATTAGCTTTCTAATGTTTGTCTCTTAATGATGGCAATAAAGGATTAATAAGTCATTATCTGGTGAAGGGCCATCACTTAAGCTTTCTTTAGACATTGATGGGTGGTTACACTTTCAGCTGTTCCTCATACTGCTTTTTATTTTGTCCAAAGGCATTTTGCTTCCCTGCTTCCTGTGCCTTGTGTTTGAGGTCCTTCACAATAGCTCGTGTTTGCTAGCTCATAAATTACTCTTTTCTTCATTGTCTAACATTACTGCATTCCATCCTACTCTGGGACAAAAATTAACCAACACAGTGTCTTCTGTGCTTTTACAGGCTCACAGTCTTTCTGTCAAAGTCCTTTGATGAATAACTAAATATAAACTACAGAAGGTTAAATATCTTGTTATATAATATCTTTTTAATGGAAACATAACAGATGGTATCTGCTAAGAAAAGGTCACTCAGGCTGGATTATATCATCTTCTTACATGTGCTTAGGAGCAGTGACATAGTGAAGTGTTGAGTTATCTTTCAAGTGTGTGTTAGCACCCAGTGAAATTCATACAACAGCTTGATCAACATACAGGTGGATTAAAGGCAGAGCTGGAGTCCTGCCCAGGTGTCTTGTCTCCCTCCTGGATGCCTTAACAGGGATGACAGAACTACATGTGAAAAGCACTTGAATTGCTGTTACTTAGTTGATCCTTTTAATGTAAATTGTAACAGATTTTGAATATTTATGTTCCGTAAACTGTGCTTGTTCATGAGTTGTCCCACATGTCCCAACATGTTCAGTTGTCCCTGCTGTTGCCTGACATTTTCTTCCATTTGTGAGCCAACACTTGTAGAGATATTTGAATCAAGCTCTAAAATTAGGTAGATTTATTGATTAGGCTGAATTCATTCCAGTTTCTCAGGAACAGCCTGTAACAGACTTGTATGAAAACAACAGTTTAATATTGTGTCTGTCAGATTGCTTCCTTTCCATCAGATTTCAGTGGGATCACTTGTCTCTTGTTTGTGTATGCTATCTCATAGACTAGAAAGGTCTCAGCCTTTTCATGTGGTGAAGTAATGTAGTCATGCATTGTTTGATTTCTGTCTATATTTTTACAAGAAGATTAGAGTTTGAAGCAGGTGTTTTCTAACAGCTTTGAAGCGAGATGGAGTGTGTGTGGATGAAATGCAAACATTGTAGAAGGTTATTCGAGATTCCTGGGTATATAGGAAAGAAAGTTTATTTCCTTCAGGGAGGAGGCTTTATGAAGGAATAGTGAAAAGAAATGAGGTGAGAAGAGAAAGGAAGGCCAGCAAGAATTTAAAGGGCAGTTGTTTCACATGTTGGAGTTGTTTTGATGTGGATGGTTTGTTTAGCCCTTTTCGGTATTTGGCCAGCACCTCAAAAATTAAGCACCTGTTTAAATGTTTTCCTCACATATTTCCAATGTCTGAAAATTAAGTATTAAGACATTAATACTGAAGTTGGGTATCTGCAAAATCAGCAGGAAGAACTCAACAGTGTAAGAAGTTTACATATTGAGCATGGAAAGCTTCTGTGCAGTGGAAATGCTGAGCAGAGGAGCATCCAAATCTCTTGCCTCCTTCACACTTTAGGTGCTTGTGTTTCTGTCTGCATAATAGTCAGAGCACAGGTTCTGTGAAGGACACTGATACTCAGGTGAGCAGCACCTGCTGGTAAATCAATGCTGCTGTATAAAATGGTATTTCCCTACACTAAAGGAAATTTAAGTAGTTAAACCAGCTGCCTGAAAAGGGATTCTAGATCTTCCTTAGCCTGGAGGGATTGAAATGAGCATATTGTCTTTCCTTCTCTGCCCAGCAACAGCCCAAACTTGAAGAGACATTCTTCCCTCATGTTGAATTTGTGCTGTCATGCAGTCAAGAAGGAAAACATTTTAGGAACAGAGCATAGCCCAGTGTGGAAGGCTCTGAGGTGAGAATGTGGAATGGAATACTTTCAGTTGGAGGGGACTGACAAGGATCAGCCAGTCCAGGATCACTTCAGGGCTTCCCAAAGGATGTTGCTAAGGGCATTGTCCAAATGCTTCTTAAACACTGACAGGCTTGGGGCACTGACCACATCTCCAGGAAGTTGGTCCAGTGAGTGTCCACTCCCTTGTAAAGAAATGTTTCATAGTGTCCAGACTTGGATTTACTTTTCTTTTTCCACAGATTTTTCTGTTTGTGATTTTTTGTTCAATGACTGACCAATATAAAATGCTAAAACAGTCCTAGAAAAAAATGCCATGTGTCCTACTTTTATGCAATGGTTGAAGTTATACAGGCAATTCTGTAAAAGCATCAGTTCCCACAGAGATGCTGCTCTCTCAGATGTGGCTCTGCATGATCTGATCCTGATGATTGTGTCTCTGTGCTGTGCCCTGCAATTTCACATTTGGCTTAAATCCAGTCATTGCTGAGCCTGTTGCAAAGAAGGGAAGGCCCTGCCCTCCATGCTGGCTGCTCATTCCTGCCTGCTCCAGCATTTGTGATTTTCTCTTTAATCCAACTTAATGTAATCTTTTATTTATTTAATTTTGAGGTCAGTTAGATGAATGAACTGATCAAACTTAGTCTGTTGTCCAGATGCTGCTAGAACTGATGTGAAAGAAGTGGCAGGAAAATGTGTCAGGGGTTGGTATGTATGTGCTTTTTGGCAGCAACTGTCAGTTTAGTCTTAGGCATGTTCATAAAACACCTAATTGACTGTATTCCCATGGATGAAGCGTGGATACTTTGCCATCTTGCTTCTGGATCACAACAGACCATATGTGAACAACTTTTTTTCCCGGATTCAGGTATTTCAAGCTGTGCACAAATAAGTTTAGGCTCCATGGAAGCTGTAAGTCAAAGGGATAGTCACCTCTTGAGTGTGAGGAATGCCCATGGCTTCAGATGTTGGTATGGCAATGTGGTTTAACATTGTCTTGGATCACAAGTACTCAAATGTTGACTATGTTGAGTTCAAATATGAGGCTTAGTACAAGTGTTGTGATTTGAGCAAACCTTATTCGCTCACAGGTCAGGAGATTCTCCTGATTCATTTTTAAAGGATAAAAGCATTGGTTGTTATGGCACATGCAGCTGGAAGTTAATAAAAAACCAGAGCAAGCACACAGAATTTGTTAATGTTTTTGATGAAACAGGAGACTGTATCCTTCAGTTTAGATGTGACTAATTATTGAAATGAATGTGTTCTAAGTACATGAAATAAATGAGTTGCATATAATATAAACAACTGTGCTGCTCACATTAAGCATCATCACTAAGCCTTCTTGCCCAGTATTGACATTTTTACTAAAAAGTGTTCTGCAGCCATTGGGTAGCTTATATAATCCTCTTGGTTTCAAAGAAATGAAATCTGTTCAACCAATCTTCCCCCATCTGTCTCTTGTAGCACTGCTCTTATATGTGGCAGGCTTATAGCTCCCTCCAGAGTTCCATTCTCCGCTCAAATACAGAGGAGAAAAAAATAAAAGAGATTCACTGTAAAAGAATTGCATTTTCTACTCACATCATATTATCTGCATGACTCATTGTTCCACTACCAGGCTGGTTTGCACAATTCTTTTGAATTTATCTAGCTTTTTTTTTGGTATCATAATGATTTACTTTTAGAACTTAAAGACATTGATTGATTTGCATACTAGGTTTCTTTATTTTTCTATGCCTTCACTGTTTTGGTTTTTTTTTTTTTATTTTTTTTTTCACTGTGCATGGACAGCAGAAAGAATGTGTACACAAATTGAATATCTCCTAAGTGGGCTTAGGGCTGAAGTAAAGAAAATGTCCTGCATTCCTACACTCTGATTTTTTTTGTATAATAAAGTAAGACAAAATGTACAGTCTGCTAAATATTTAATTTGTTGCCATTCAGATAAAAAATTGAGATTTGGCCCAGCTATTAACTAAGGTACAAACAGCATTTCTCAGTCTTGTCTAACTTAAAATTTATTAATTGCTTTTAAGAAAAAGAGTCTCTTCTATATTGTCAACTTTTGAATAGTCTTAAATATGTCAGATATAGAAGTATTTAATAAATCTTGTTAAGAAGATTTGAGATGCTCCTGAGCTGGTCATTAATCTGAAAGTTTGTCTATATGTATTTGCTGTTTTCTGCATCAGCGCATGAAGATTTGCTGAAATAGCAGGGAAAGGAAAGTGTTAATGGTAAAATCAGAACTTGTAAAGAAGTTCTTTGTTCTTCTGCACAAGGCCCCTGTGAAATTTGTTACCAGCTAATGAAAATTGCTGTTAGGTTGTGTGTGGGCAAATTTTTTGGTCGTTATTTTTTGCATTTAATATATGGGTGTATGTTTTCATCCATCTTGGAAAAAAATTTATGAATCGGCATCTACTCCAATGCTTGCTGCTCTAATTTTGCAACTCCTTGGGTTTTGTAACAGAGCCATTGTTTGTCACAATGACCAGAACTCATGTGATCGCGGCTTCCAAAGTAGCGTTTTACGTCTGGCAGTACCGGGTGGCCAAGAAGCTCACAGCCATGGAAATCAATCAGCTGTCACGGACCAGGAAAGAAGGCAGGGAAAGGTTTGTCTTCAGGCTTTGTCATTTTTCTTCCTCTGCTCTGGTGTCATTGATAAGGTGGATTCTGCCATGTCTAAAATGCAAACCCTTGTCCTCTCTTTTTTCTAATCAGGTTTCTTGACTTTCAGGCCTGTAAGATGATATACTAGTTTTGTATAACAACTGTGTGTTTGTTATCCACATCCCTCTGACGTTTTTGGATTAGTTTCTGTTCAGTGTCTCCATTTGCTTGCTGCATGTTTTCCTTACAGAGCTGTGGGTCTTTATGCCTTTTTACCCCTCTCCTGTTTCTCCTCTGTACTCTTAGTTTCCAGGCAGCTCTGTTCCCTCTGATAACTTTAACTGCTTCTCGTCTGTCATTGCCTGTAAGAACTTAGTCTGTCCAGGTGGCTCTTCTCTAATACACTTGTGTCTGGTTGTGGCTTTGACAAGTAATCCTGTATGGACTTTTATCCTCTCAAACTAAACAAGCCAAAGTCAACATTGTTTTGCTTCCAAAATATTTCTTTCCTAGGTGCTCATTTGTGGCATTAACTTTTCTGTCACCTCCACAAAGCTTACAATTTTGTTATGGTTTTCTTTTTAGTTATTTTGTGTGTTCTTCCATATAATCTTTACACTGTATCATCTTTCTATAAACCTACCATATCCTGTCACCATATATCTCTAATAATGTGTAATTATTTGTACATGATGTAATAACTTACATTGTTGTAGGACCTGGTTGTCCTAGCCTTGGACAAGATTATAAATAGATAAAAATATCGAAAAATGTAGTTACTTGTAATTCAGCATGAATGAGGATTTTAGCATTCTAAAATCTTCCTAATGCTACTTTTGAAGGCAGATGTGTTGAATAGTACAGTAATACATACGTTTTTGTGGATGTGAAGATGAAGCGCTTCATAATTACGGAGAAGAGCCTGGGGAAATATGGACATGCATGTTTGAAAAGGACAACTGAGTGGTTGATGGTTTTCAGCAGGACACCTAACTGTAACAGCAGAAACTTACTGTTAAGGATGGAAGTTTACAGATCATAGGGGAATAGACCTATGGGACTGTGAAAGTGAAAGCAACTGCCATATCTTTATATCAATATAAAGCTGGTTTTTCAAAGGGGATGCTTTTGAACATAAGAACAGACATAGATTTTATTCTCTTCTCCAATCCCAATGGTTTCTTCTCCAAGGATGGAGCATGCCAATGCTACTACCAAAGTTGATCCTTTCTTTGGACTCACTCTTTCTTCTAACTTTCCTTCTCTACAGGATCTATCATGTTGATGACCCCTTATCAGGGTCTGGAGATGGTCAGCTTGATTACAGCAGAGCTTTTGAAGTGAGTGATGTCATGAACTAGTGTATTGTGGTGTCACTGGTAGCTTGAAAGAGCAGTAATTAGTGTTGATTTATTTATTTTCCTAGATTTTCATTAGTAGGAATACATGGTTGTACTTAAAATTTCTTTTACTTTTAATTTTTTTACATAAGTGTTATGTTTCTTCCCTCTGGTTGGTGCTGTTACTGTGTCATTGTGTATTACTGGAAATATACAGCAAACTATAGAGAACATGGAAAAAGTATATTCTGGGTGTGTACAGCATATAGACACCTGCTGTCTTCCTGGTCAGAAGCAGCTCCCCTTCAACAAGATATAACTTTGTTGAAAGTCAATAACCTTTAGAATCTTTTCTAGTATTTTTGGCCATTTTCACTTCATGTGTGCAAGTGCTGGCTGTCCTTACTAAATATACCTGAAATTAATTACTTAACAGCTCTCACAAGCCAGGGATTGTTGCTTTCTTGTGTTTCTGTTAAACACCTGTTATATTTTGGGTTTCTTATTTTTCTGTGGGGAGGGGCAGGAAAAAAAGAAGCAGTTAATATTATTGTTATGATTGCCATAGCAAAGGCTACTGATGCCATAAACTATGCACAGACTGTATGCTGACAAGGTTTGATAGCTCCTTTTCATGTGGCTACTTAGCAACACTCTTGTTTATTTAAATAACCTTCTTTCTTTAGCAGGGCATGCTTACCTTTGCAGTAAAACTGATACTGATATCACTTGTTTACTTTCAGGGAACAAGAGATCCAATTTGTGCAATAACAGCATCTGATAAGATACTGCTTGTGGTAAGCTACATGATTAAAAGAATTCCTAATTGCCTGTTGGCTTGTAGGCATAAGATTCTTTTTTCTATGTTCAGAAGCAGTCATAATTTCAAAGCATTTCTGAATTTAGAATTTACACAGACAAAATCTCTTTCTAAACTTCCTCAAAGATAACTTTAATGGTTTCTTCTGTTAACCTGGATTTTTTCTTTAGGAGGGCTAATTCACTAATTACCTGCAATTTAATTACAGACTAGTTGCCCAAGTTAATACTTACACGTAGGATTTTATAAAGTCTAGGTCAGGACTTAATTCTGTAATCTGAGTCCTGAGAAGTCTCTTTGAGACAGTAGGTTCTAGACACAAAGATTTGCAAAGTTTGTCTGTTTAGATATTAATGGTATAATGCATGGTACTATACTACATACAGATGAATACACTTATGGATTATGCAGTTGTGTGAGGTATTGAATCATGCCAAAGAGCTGGTGCATTTTTGTGTTCTAAGCTGGAAGTGATCTCATTAGATGAAGAAATTTATATGTGGGCTTTAAAGCAAGCTAACTGAACAGAACAAAGAGAGAGAAAGAACAGTGTTTCTTCCTGTTATCTGCCCTCCAGGAAAGATCTTGTTTTGTCATGTTCTGATTCTAGTGTGGATTTTCGTTTGTTTTTTTTTTGTTTGTTTTATCCTTTGACTGTATTTTACAAAATCAGAGGGTCATGGGAGACAGCATGAACAAAAGAAGTGTGATGGTTAATAGGTGACTATGGGATTGTTACTGCTTGAAGAATATGAAAATGAACTTCTGACAATAATTAATCTGTGACTTTTTATTAAAAAGGAAAGGAATGAGAGGAAATGCCTCTGAGACCAGATCTGGATAAATGTGCTGAAGCTGAATGCAAATGATAGTAGTTCAATTTTCTAACACTTCTGAACTAATCTGCTTTTTAGTCTATAGAGTATATGTATGTGAAAAAGTCAAAAATGGTAGTTTATGCTGAGGATGTTAGGGACAGCTTTGGGGAAAGAAGGAAAATCACTCCTTTGAAATTTAGTGTTTATTCATTTCCAACATAAGAGTTGAACAGTAGGCAAACCAAGCTGGATATGTTATTTATTTGACAGAAATACCATGAGAAAATAGTGGCAGTGATCATTTCATTTCAGGGATGTCACTCCTTTCACCCTGATGGCCTGATGGTATCTTGACATAGGGAATCGGTGTTTCCTTCAGCAAAATAAAGATAAACCACATTGGTACTTAGATTCATTTTCTGTTACTCAAGGCTGTGAATAACCAGTATATTTTATAGCAGTTCCTTTTAAATCTAGCTCTGGTCTTGCAGTAACTGGTAAGACTTGTTGGTAGGCAGACAGCCCCACATGGTCAGAGCTGTCCTGCTCAGATCTGGGCTGATGCTGCTATATGGACCTCTCCTGTTTTATTATGTAGACCCTATCCTGGAGGGTCATGGCTCCTGAAATTCTGTGGGCTAGATGTGTAACTGTTTGTTTTAACATCCCTGATTTAAGCAGATTTGTCAATTGTAGCATCTTAGAGTATCTTGTTTAAATACCAGAATTCAAAACTTTTGCTGTGATGATTCCCTCTTTCACTCATGCTCTGTCACTTATCCCAAAGCTTTTTTGTCTAAAACAGCATATAAATAATACCATTTTAAGGGGTTTGCTGATGGACAAATTCTCTCACTAAGGCAGCATTGCTTTCCTCTAGGGAAGAGAATCTGGCATTATTCAGAGGTACAGCCTCCCCAGTGTGGCTGTGGTGCAGAGCTATACCCTGGAGCATCGTGCCTATCAGCTGTCTTTGAACTGCAACTCCACGTAAGTTACAGACCTGCTTCTAACACAGGTATCCAATTTCAAAATGAAGCACTACAATTTGTGAAAATACTAATTCTGTGAAATGTATAATTATATAATAATTATGTACTAATTTAAATTTAGTATAAGCCACATATTAATTTTAGTTGTTCTTAATGGTTGCTTAACCATTTATTTATTACTAATTATTTCCATCTGGATAGTCATTGTTCTGAGAGACTGTTAATAAAGGTCTCCTATGTTTTGCACCCTGTGTACATGAAAATACCTTTGTTTTATTAGATGAACCAAACATAACCTTCCTTTGATCATGACACAAATTGGTAAAATTATGTAATAACCTGAAATTTTTTATCTAGGACTTCTTTCTGTTTCTGTGTCCTTCTAAGGCCTGTAAACTTAGTTCATCCCATTTAATTTTCTATTGTTATAGGCTATAACTAGTGGTGATGTTTCTAGTGAGTCTGATTCTCCTGAGCTTCATCTGTGCTGATACTGAAGTTGACTTCTACTCAACAGCTTTTTTTTTTTTTTTTTTTTTTTTTTTGCATGAGAGTGTTAGCAGAAAAGGCAAAAATACACAAAAATTTGCAAGGCAATTGTAATCACTTCAAAATAACTTAAAAATTTCAAATGAAATTCATAATGCATGTGTAGAGATCTCTTGCCTTTTCAGGTATAGCCCAAAAATAGATTGCTTTGCTTAAAAGGCAAACTGATCTAGTCAGAGCTATATTAATTTTGTTTTGAACCCGAGCTATTTTCTTCCTAAATGACTTTGTTCTGGGGAAATAAGCTCAGATCCATAAGCATTTTGAGGTTAATTTTCTAAATTGCATTTGAAGTTTTAATAGGGGCTAAAGCTGTCTACCTGTTAATATTTAAAAATGCTTTTTAAATGGCCTTGTAGTAAATACAGGTTATTATGATTCATTGAAGACTGAGGCAACTGTAAAATTTCAAGTCTAACCTTTTATAAATTGTGTTTTTCCCATATATAAGCAATTTCAAAGATTAATTGGATTATACTTAACATTGTCTTGGAAAAAAAGTGAAGAATACCCTTTGTAGAAATGCAAGAAATCACATTTTAGGAATTAATAGTCTGCATCACCACACTGACTTTTTAATTTAATAATCTACTTAATTTCCTCCTAGTAAATAAGGAAAACCCATTCTGTTCAGTTGTTAATTTAGGTCCTTGTCAAGAAAAGTTTGGCAAGGGACAGACCTGTAATTTATTCAACTTGGTATCTGATGTATTTTCAAAGTGCTGGATATAAAAATGGGCATATTTGAGAACCTTGGCTGGGCCAGATCCTCTGTGAGCAGATGAAGAGCATCTTTCCATGTGTCTGGTCTCTGCTGTGCAGATACATGAAAACCATATGGATCTGTGCTGGTTCTGGCACACAACAGCATCTCATGGAACCTATAGAATTATACTGTGCCAGGCCAGAGAACTGTTTCAGATTTACAGCCTTGAGTGGTGTCCTTTAGCTGCCTTATTTTTTCCCTGTTTGTTTTTCCGCAGTCGCCTTGCTATCATTGACGTCTCCGGGGTTCTGACCTTCCTGGAGCTGGAGGCGCGGGCCGCGGACAGCGCGGGGCAGCCCGAGGCGGGCGGGCAGCTGAGGCTGGAGCGCAAGGACGTGTGGGACATGAAGTGGGCCAAGGACAACCCCGACCTGTTTGCCATGATGGAGAAAACAAGAATGTATGTCTTCAGAAACTTGGATCCAGAGGTAAGTATCAACGTACATAAACTACTCATTTAAAAAATTCACTCCTAAGTTAATGGGTCTTTCTTGAATAGTATTATTCTTGTGCTGACCATTCAGTTCTGCAAGTGTTTGTTAATATAAACTTGCTTCAGGTTATGTAAACCTCAAAACCTTACCAACTCTCACGTGGGAATGGACCATATAGGTAGAATGAATGGTCAGTCCTAGAAACATAAAAATGGTGTCATATTTTTCTCAAATAGATGAGATTTTCAGGAGTGTATTTTTTATATGTTTTGGAATTCATAAATTCAATTTTAGTAGGGATAGTTGTAAAACAGTTCAGTTGAATCTGAATATTGGCAGGTATTATTCATCTCTTTGTCATAATTTAGTTGCAGAAAACATGAGGATTGTTAGTGATACCTGTATTAACAGAATTGTCAATAATGTTAATGATTATAGTATTTGTTTCTTGTTGGAAGTGCAAGTATATCCTAGTTTGGAGAAGAATGGATCTAAATGTATACTTAACAGATTTGACTAGGATTTAGTCAGACAGAATGCAAGTTCATTCCTTTATAACTTATTTAACTTCCAGGAACCTATACAAACATCTGGATATATTTGCAACTTTGAAGATTTAGAAATCAAATCTGTTCTTCTGGATGAAATACTAAAGGTCAGTACAATCACATCTATTTTGTAGGAAAAGTCGGTGTCTGTCTAAATGATGGATATCTGTTTTGTTGGGTGAAAATAAAAGTCACCAGGAATAAAAATATGTTTCTTTATCCATTATGTTAGAATCCCGAACATCCTAACAAAGATTACATCATCAATTTCGAGATTCGGTCATTACGAGACAGTCGAGCATTGATTGAAAAAGTTGGCATTGAGGAATCTTCCCAATTCATAGAAGACAATCCACATCCCAGACTTTGGTAAAATCTCCTATAAGCCAAATTTGTTTAAATTTGTCTTCTTTTCTATTCTTTTCCTGTTCAGACAGATCTAGTATGAAAATAAAGAAACCTCAAAACCAGCCTATATATTTTACACACAATTATTTAGGATTTAATTAATGTTGGAGTACGTAGAATGTCAGGCATGTGCTGTATCATGATGGTGGGTATAAGGTGTAGGCTCAGGACACCTTTTTGCTCTGTGCTATATGGGCCCCAAAACACAGTGTTTCTTGTGTTTTAGAGGAAATTTAAAGGAAATGAAAAGCTAACAGCAAGATAGTCAAGTTGGTTAAATTAAAATTTATGTATTTGATATTGAACATTAAAGAGCTTAAAACCTGGTAAAGGGAACACATCAGACTGATAGAAGGATAAGAGTAGTTTGAATAACTTTGTAGCATTTGGACAGGCCTCGAAGGACAGAAGTGAGAAGGGCTGGGTGTGCTGTGTTCCCGTGCAGCATCTCAGAAGTAATCTGAGAAATGGAGATAGTGTCATGCTTAAACTAAACATGGCTCAGCTGTTAAACTAAAGTTGAAAAGTCTGCAGAGCAAACATGTGGGGGTAAACCTGTGACAACAGGAGTGCTGGAAATCTGTTTAATATCCCAGCTTGTAAGGGCTGGAAGAGTAAAGGCCTCAGTAGATAATTTAATGAAAAGTCAGTGCAAAACCTAAAACTTAATTGACAAGTTCCTTGATGAAGAAGACCAATTCTCTTTAACTCTCTGGAGACTGTTTACTTACCTGTACCTTTCTTTAGTAAATTTGGCTCTGTTTTGAAGCTAAATGGTCTCTTGCAGCATTGGACGCTTAGCTTGCATCAAGGCGGGTTGGAGAGTTCACTGTTAGTTCTGCTGTTTCAGAGATGAATTTAGAGTTGCTAAAAGACTGGACAAGACACCTTGCTTTAAAAGTTTGTCTCAAAAAACATTTCTTTCTATCTAGTTGTGCCTTTGTCTCCAGAATGTTCATTTTGAAAAACAGGATTTGCTAGCTATATATTGAATGTTTCTGTAATACTATAATTTTATTAGCTTGAGTGTGTAGGGTGAAATGTTAGTGTTTTGAGTCTTCATTTTTACAAATGTCATGAACTAGCTGAAGATTTTTGGACCTTTGAAATTGTAAATGATTTTTTTGCTAGTACTGTTGTTCAGTTAATATAAAATGACTGTTAGTTTTGCAAGTCTGTGTCTCAGTAAAAGTTCTATATCATAAAATCACGAAATATAGGTCAAATTCTGTTCACCTTGCTCTGGAATTGCCGTGAATGTTATTTTATTATGAGAGAAAACACGTCACATGTTTATGAAGAAGAGATTGATTGGAAAGAAGTGCTGGATATAAAGTAAATATATTCCAGATCAGAAGAAAACAGCAACCTTGCTTCTAGAATGCAACAAATGTGATGTGTAGATCAATTGGTTTCTTTGATGTCAGTGATGAGCACTTGAGTTTAAGTGATACCAGCCTTCTCAAACTGATTCAGAGATACACAGCAGACACTGCCTAAGCATGGCTTGGGTCACTGAATACAGCAATAATACTAGTGGTTTTGTCAGTGCCTCACTGCACTGAGTTTGTTTCACAATGTAATCAGCCAGTCTAAACTTTAAATAGCCTAACTTTTTCAGAAAATTCTAGAGCTCATTCAAACACCTGATGCACACAGGTTGGCCTGAATTCCCTATTTGCAGAACTAACCTATGGGGCAGTACCAATTATAAAGCTCCCCAAAGGTTTTCCCTGCTGTCCCAGGCTGCTGTCATAACAGGACCAGGAACATTCAGATGGATCAGAAGGATAATTTATTTGTCGTGGCCAGTGGAGCTGGAGGCACTTAGATTGAGGCTGCCATCAAGGCTTACAGTTTCCACAAATGCACAGGGAGAAATAAATAAATGGAACAGCACTGAGACCAGCAACACATTTCACGTAGTGTAACAGTCAAATCTTGCCCATTCCTCCCAAGCCAGTGCCCATCTGAACAGCTGAACTGAAGAATATTACCAATTATTTCAACATCTCTCCCTGACCATGTACCAGGCAGATCACAGAATGTATTAGGAATAAACACATGACTGTATTAAGATTAGCTAGTAAGCAATAAATTGCAACAACTTGTATGTCTTCTTTAAATAATTTCTAGTTAAATATACCCTCATTTAATTTACTCTGTAGCTGCTCTTCCATCTGCTATGTTTGTTTTTCATGCAGGCGACTCCTGGCTGAAGCTGCTCTTCAGAAGCTGGATCTGCAGATGGCTGAACAAGCTTTTGTGCGTTGCAAAGATTATCAAGGCATTAAGTTTGTGAAGCGCCTGGGCAATCTGCAGAGCGAGTCCATGAAGCAAGCAGAAGTGGCAGCCTATTTTAGCAGATTTGAAGAAGCTGAAAGAATGTATCTGGATATGGACAGAAGGTAATTGCATGTAAACATCTCAGCAGTAGAAAAGTCTGGGGGAAAAAAAAGCATTCCTTAATCAGGAATGGCTGTTTTCTCTGGAGAGTCTTTACCAGTTTCTGCAAAAACATAAAAGGATCAGATGGGGAGAATTTTGTTTAATCCATAGATAACCATTTCTGTATGTAAACCAGTGCATTCCAAACAGTTTACAAAACCTTGGCTGCTCTAGGTAGTGCTGTGTTTTATAGATGTTTTATTCACAAGTATTTTGTTGGTATTTCAACTGGGATTCCAAAAATACAAACAATGTTAAATAATGTTTAATTTATGTGGTGTTGGTCTGTGCTAGTAGCCAAGTACACATTCTTCTCAATTACATATACAAACAACAGAGTTTTTAATGAACTGTAATCTTTGGAGAGACAGACTCTGGATGAAACTGTGAAACATTGAAACCAATCAGTGTAATTTTTGCTCAGGAATGAAAACAAACAAAGCAAAATTTTAGTATTGCTGGGAATATAAATTAAGTAATTAGCTAGAGCACTGTCTCTACTGAAAAAGGATAATGAGAAATCATCAGCAGCAGTTGTGCAGTGTAGCCTGTAGATGGTGGTCAAACATGGAGAAACATGAATCACTTATGCACACATTTTTAAGCTTTGATTAATGGAGCCATGAAAAACAGTAGGGAATGATGGAGAAAAAAAAATTAGTTATTATTTCATGCTGTAAGAATGAAAGTAAGGGAGACAGTGTGGCAGGGCAGAGGAAGAAGGCAGGGGCTGGGGAGAGATGCCCAATAGTGCCTGGTAATGAAAACTTCCTTGCATGTCATTAATTAGTTGCTGGCAGTTGGGTGATTTGGGGATGTGGGCTGCCTCCTCAGCACTTCAGTCACACTGCAACACTCAGTTTTAGATATGACATATTTCTTTTCACATGGCTGAAGAGAAACTTGGACATTGAATTGCAGAAATCAAAAACTTATTTTTTGTTTACTGGTTTCAATTTTCACAACTAAAAAAATCTATATAAGGATCTACAATAAATCACAATGAAATAAATTTATTTTTCAAATAAAATTCTAATGTTTTTAGATAGATGCTCTTATTTAGCTGACTGCATTGACTTTCTCATGCCTTCTTTAATTTACTTGTAAGGTGAGGGCATTTTTAAAAGAAGGACATAGGTCTCTCCCATTTATTCTCTATGCACCTGCAGAATTACTTTTATATGAGGTAATACAGAATTATTCTGTTTGGTGGAAAAAACATGCCAGACAGACACACAGTGAGTCATATGTATGCATGAATAATAAAAAGGAAAAAACTACTGCTGAGTCCTTTCTCCTTTATCCAAAATCACCCTGAATCTGGAAAATAAGTCTCTGAAATCCATTTTATTTCATCTGAGCTTTAGCCTCCATTATTCATATTTGTTGCTTCTTGTTCTTTCCCCTCACCTTCCTTCTGCTTTTAGCCTTTTGCAGCAGCTGCCATCTCTTGTGGTGGGTCAGCAGTGAAAGATGCAGAACAGAGTAAGAGGGAGCCTGAAGTAACATCAGCCCAACTGTCTCACTCATTTACTCCTCACACAGGAGTGTGGCTGATAAGGAAGTGCATACGTGTGATATAACCTGGGAGCTCTCTTGAGTGTTTGCTTTAACGGAATAGTGTTTAAATTGTAAACAAGTTATCTGGGATCACTCTGATACCTGCATTGCAGGTGAAAACACTTTTGGATGCTTTTCTCGAGATGTTTGTTAAGCCTCTTTTGTTGTGTTTGACTTTTCCCTGCTGTTTCCTGTTTAGAGATCTTGCCATTGGGCTGCGGATCAAACTGGGCGATTGGTTCCGCGTGCTGCAGCTGCTGAAAACGGGCTCGGGGGGCGCGGACGACGCCCTCCTGGAGCAGGCACACAACGCCATTGGAGACTACTTTGCAGACAGGCAGAAATGGTATGGGCTGGACAGGAAATTATTAACCTGATGACAAGACTTCATGTATGAGGAGGGACAGATATTGGGAAAGTTAGGATGCAATGCATTGGATCATTTTGGAATTATGAGATTTAGCTCATACCTTTAGGGTTCCATGATATGATAAACAGCTGCTGATCAGCTTCCTAAAGGGTGAAGGTTGTATAAATCTCTGCTTTGCCAGAAGTCGTCTGCTTCAAAGGAAGGGAAGAGAAATGCCTATACAGTTGTATTATAATAGGCTGGATAATAAAACGTATTAAAAAAAACCCAAAAGGGATTAAAAGTAGTACATAATTACTAACTATCAGTGAATTTTCTAAAATGCTTCAAATCACAAATATTTGAGAAGGTCCAGAGTTCTCTGACCTGGATCTGTCTCCAGCTGTTGCCCAAACTGGGCACCCAAGGAAGATTTTACACTCTCCAGAACACATTGTGCAGTCAGGTGCTTACTGAGCCAGAGGTAATGTCTTCATAGCTAATAACTTGCAGGGAATTTTTTTCATGAACGTTTGTTGTTGCCTTCTAAGCCCATGTATTAGAGTTCCACAGCTCCACTATGTATTGCCATTATCCAAACTGTATTGTCACAATGCAGCTGAAAACTTGTGATTGGATTTTGAAAGTTGAGTTTTACATGCTTTTGGTAACTTTGGAGAATGGACTTGGAGGTCTTGATGTTTGCATTTTAAAATAGAGAAGCACAACAGTAAAGCCCTTTTCTGGAAGTTTAGCTGTAAGTTGTCCTCCCTCATCTCTGCTGACATGGGAATGCAGCTTTAAGAATTCCTTGACTTCCTAATCTTATGCTAGTCAGAGAATCAATATTGCTACACTTTTAATATAATGATCTGTGAAAATTAAAATTTTTAGTGCATTTTGGAAAAATGGTGAAATTCTAGCTATGAAAGTTTTTCAAACAAAGTTACCTATTTAAAATAATGTGATTTTAACTTTACAAATGCAAAAGACTTACAGAATTAAAAACTTCTCTTGTGTTTATACATCAGAAGCCACCACATTTTTTTGGTCTTATTAGGTTAAATGCTGTACAGTACTATGTCCAAGGACGAAACCAGGAACGTTTAGCTGAATGTTACTACATGCTAGAAGACTACCAAGGACTGGAGAATTTGGCCAACTCACTTCCAGAGAATCATAAATTGCTTCCTGTAAGCAAAAAGCACCTTTATTGTTCATTGCCTTAAATCCAACTATTTATTTAAAATTTCTCATCTTGGGAGGGTTAAGAATAAGACAATGAGTGCAGTGGATGATCTACTCACTTAAAGTGCAATGGTGTTACTGTGGTATTGATCTCTAGTATTACTGTTATTTTCATACCCTGTCACTCTTCCATTCCCTTATTGCACTTCCAGAGAATCATAAATTGCTTCCTGTAAGCAAAAAGCACCTTTATTGTTCATTGCCTTATATCCAACTATTTATTTAAAATGTCCCATCTTGGGAGGGTTAAGAATGAGAGAATGAATGCAGTGGATGGCCTACTCACTTAAGTGCAATGGTGCTACTGTGGTATTGATCTCTAGTGTTACTGTTATTTTCATACCCTGTCACTCTTCCTTATTATCCCAGTTCCCCAGAAAGACCTGACTGACAATGCTCTGAAAGGAGTGAAAGTAGATGGGGTAGGGTGTGTAGGATATATAGGTGTACAGAGTATAGGTCTGTATATGTAGCAGGAAATTGCCTACTAAATAATAGCTAATGTAAAACTATGCTGTGGTTGACTTAATCCAAAATGCTTGAAAAATGCAAAACATGCTCCTTTAATGCCTTTTCCAGTAAATCAAGACATAGCATTTTCTTTTAAACTCATTGTAATAGCTTTCTTGAATTTAGAAGCAGTGTGTGAGCACAGTTCTAAAGATTTACAACAATGCCTGATGTCTTCACAGGGTCCATGAAGCAAACAACCCATTCCCCACCCTCTTGGACTTAAATTAACCAAATAGGAGCACTGCTGTTGCTGCACAATGTACTAAAAATGCAGAAGTGAATTTAATACAGTGCTGATGCTTTTTGCAGGATATAGCTTATATGTTTGTGAGAGTGGGGATGTGTGAACAAGCTGTGTCAGCCTTTCTGAAATGTAATCGACCAAAGGATGCTGTGGATACCTGTGTGCATCTCAACCAGGTAAAACAGCAGATGATAATCTGTAACAATACCAGGTTAACAGTGAGATTTCTATCCTAATGCCCAGTGGAATACAAATATGTGTTAAACGTCAGATGATTTGTCATAATTTCTGGAAAATTCTTATTTTGGTGCTTAAACCAGTTCTCTGAGATTAAGATTAAAACACTGGAGGGGCTACATGCAAAGCTACATGCAGGGTTTGTGGGCAGCATGCTCAGCATACAGACATTTGTAGCCTCTGTGAAGCCAGGCTGTGCTGCCTCCTGATGGAATGGGACAAGACTGGAGAAGAGATAGATGTCCATTCTGGATATTTTCCACATCCCCCTCCTTTGTATAGATGCGAATAGATTTGTGACAGCATGAGGATGTAGCTGGAAAAAGCTGAGCTGGAAACTGATCTGCACGTTGAGAACTAGAGCTCTTTCCTGGTATGACTTAACCTGTGCAAATGTCTGTGTCAACACAAATAAGGGAAAAACTGAGGATGGCTATGAGGAACTTGATGGATGGGAATGGCAGGATTGCCTAGGGCTGGCTTTTTGTGAACAATTTCTTACTTTATGGATCTGAAGAGCTATTAGGTGTGAGATTCAATTAAGATCTCAGTCCTGCCAAACTCTTCATCTGGGGCAAACACAGTAGCCAAACCACTGAAGATCAAAAAAATTCACAGACAAAATGAGGTGTATAGAAGGATAAGTAAAGTGTTACTGTGTGCTTTAAGCTTCTGGGCTGAGGTTCTCTTTCAGACATACTTTTGAGAGTCTGGTTTAGGCTTTTCTTGGTTGAAATCCACATGTCCAGCTATGAGCTATAGTGAAATGATTTTGCATAGCTTTCATAAAAGTAGAAGCAACTGTTTTATATCTGGTTTAGGACAGAGGTCTATGAGCCATGAAGAGAGACAGGGAAGACTTTGAGATGGTCAAAGAATCTGATTTTATTGTGGACTACAATGTTAATATATTGTTTTAGGAAGGCTAGTAATGTTTTACTACAATGATTGGGTTAAAGATCACATAAACTTATACTTTAAACATCTTTTGCTTGCAGAAGTCTGATGTAATTTTCTTTTTTCTGGCAAATCTGTCTGATTTGATCTTACAATCTTGATTTAATTCTCAAAGTTCTGTTTGCTCTTGCCAAGGCATCCTGTTATCAAATCTCATATGCTAATAAGGTCCAAAATAATCTCTGTTTTGGGTACACCAACATTGGTCCAGCATTTTTTTTCAGTACTACTGCATCACATGATTGGCAACGATGTAAGCATTTGTATTCTCTTGCTTTTTATGTTAATTTTATAGTAGTCTGGTTCAAAATGGTGATGAAATATTGCACACAGATGCTGCAGTCTGTTCATGGATAACTGGTTTGTTCTGAGAGTGTAGTTGAAATAATGAGATTAATAATTGTCTCCTTTAATTTCTAGTGGAATAAAGCTGTGGAGCTGGCCAAAAATCACAACATGAAAGAGATCGGATCCTTGTTAGCCAGATATGCAAGTCATTTATTGGAAAAGAACAAAATCCTTGATGCTATAGAACTCTATCGTAAAGCCAATTATTTCTTTGAAGCTGCTAAACTCATGTTCAAGGTATGGCAGGTTTTATTTTTATGTTGAATGACTGGGGTTTTTGGACTAGCTCTTACTATTTCTGTGCTACTTTTATTCCCTTGGGGTTGTTTTAGTTTTAACAATGTCTAGGCAATAAGCAGATATCATCATACAGGATAGTGCAAGGATGAACCCAACTCCCAGAGTTCAGATATCTCTATGTGTAACAGTTACCCTGGGTGTCCTCTGTAGCTAGTGGAGAGGGGACTTGGGGGACACAAGCCATCTATTTCTTTATTTTGAGACTTTCACTTCAGTAGGAGATGAACTGCACCTCAGAAAAGGTCCTGATGCCCTGCATTGCCTAGTAAAAGAGTATAGTAGACTGGCCTGGGGTGCAATGCCCACATTATTTTAGATATCATGGGAGTTACTTTTATCTCCTTTAAAAGAAAAAAAAAACAAACAAAAAACAAACAACCAAAAACCGGCAAGAACTAGAAGTTAAATTTTGGTATTTCTTCAATTAGTTCTTTCAATTAGAAATGGCTGTGGTGTGCTTTTAAGATAAAGATGTTGCTTAGATTTGGTTTGGCTACAGAGATTTCTCTACATAGCTTAAAGTCTTGTAGGAGTGATATGTAATTTTTACAGCAAATATTTATAGCAGTATATCTGTATGTATGTATATGTATATAATATATGTTACTTTCAAAAGACATTCTTCTTTTCTGGGAAAACCACCAGACCTTATTGAAAGCTATGTATGTGTTTAAAAATTGCTATTTTTTAGTTTATTTTTATACTAGATCACTAGACTTATACATGGTTACACTGATTTATCCTTCCTGAGAATCTGGCTTTATATACGTGCTAGCTAAATAAATATAAAATAATGTGCATACTTCACTTTGACATTTTCATTTATAGTTCTCTTTGCAGTCTAAATTATTACATTTAAAGGCAGAATAATTTTTTGGCATGATTTCCTGGGTTTGTACAAGCATGCAATTGTCCAGCAGAATTAAATCCCTTTGTTTTTTTTTTTTTAAGATTGCAGATGAAGAGTCAAAGAAAAGGACAAAGCCTTTGCGAGTAAAAAAGCTTTATGTGCTATCAGCTTTACTTATGGAACAGTGTCATGAACAAATGCAAAATGCACAAAAGGGAAAAGTTAAAGAGAAAAGTTCAGAGGTAATGTCTTTTTTTTCCCCCCTTTCTGAATTCTAGTATCTGCTAGCTGGTCACAATAAAGCAAACCATCTTCATGGGTGCCTATAATGTTTTTTTAATAACCCTTTTCCCTGCTAAGAACAATGCTTTCCTTCAAGCAAGTCCCCCATGAAAACATATTAAGTTTTATTTTAAAAGATTTAAATCATATGTATTAATAGATATTTTCTTCCTAAGTTTAACATGGTTTTCTTAATATTTGCACTATAACAATGGAAACTATACTAAGAAACTTCCTGCAAAACTCTTGTGTCATTTAGGAGTAGGTATTGATCCCAAAGGGTGATCTATGATTAGATTAAGCTATGTTGCCTGTAATTCAGCAGGGAGATGGCTCCAGATACATGGGATGCCAGTGGAAGAATTTTTTCTCTGCTTACACATTCATCTTCATATGCACAAATGAAATAGTTTAAACACATTTTTAAGAGCTCTGGTGTCAAAATGCAGTGTTAATCCAAACTATGAACCAGTCTGCAGATGTGCACAAAATATATTTGTATACACATGTATATGTTATTTATCTTTGAAAATCTGCACCAGATGCTGTGCCTGTGCTCTGCACAGAATGCCTGACAATGCTCACTGTAGGTCCATTTGTATTTTGCCTACTTAACACGGACGGTGTTTTGTCTACTTAACACGGACAGTGGTGTAATCACCAAGTATAGAAAAGCTCTTTTCATATATCCCCATTTCCTGCTGTATCTGTTTCATATAAAAATTACTTGTGATGCTGGTTTGTTTTCAGAGTGCTTCAGCTTTGGCTGGTTTGCTGGAAGAAGATGTTCTTTCTTCAACGAATCGCTTTGCAGACAATGCTTGGCGAGGAGCTGAGGCTTACCACTTCTTCATACTTGCACAAAAACAGCTCTATAAAGGTTCTGTAGATGCAGCACTTAAAACAGGTAAGAATTAATTTTCAACCCTGTAAAGACAGCACATAACTTCATTTATAGCTGCCACATTTTTCAGTTCTTAATAAATCCATGGAATTTAAACCAAAACCATATAATGAATCAAATACAGCTGCAGTCACAGTACCTGGAAAGGACTTTGCTGAAGAAAATGCAAATCTTTCCAAATATTACCTGGTAAATTGGTTCATCTCTGTAGATGTTCTGCTGACTGTTTTGTTTCTCTCCCTAAGTTATAAGGCATACCTAAATTTACATCATACTTTCTTGTAGAGCTTCACAAAAAATCTGTGGGAATTAGACAAACAAGTAGTGCCTTGTACTTTGTCCAAGTAATGAAGACTTCAAATCCTTCTAATATTTTTACAACCAACCAACCAAAACAAAGTGTTTCAAGAAGACGACAATTTCCAAGTGAAATTTGCTAATTTGTTTTTTAGAGCAATGCTTCACAGTCATGTCAATAAAAAGACTGTGGTTTTTGTCCTATTTTTAGAATTAATACTGTCGTCTAGTAGCAACTGTTTCATGCAGATGCTTGCACTCCTCAGAAGATATGTAATAATTGCCTTGGATTTTTTTTTAAATTTTTTAGCTCTTCATTTGCGAGATTATGAAGACATTATCCCTGCAGTTGAAATCTATTCCCTTTTGGCACTCTGTGCATGTGCAAACAGAGCATTTGATACTTGTTCAAAAGCCTTTGTTAAATTAGAATCCTTGGAAACTCTTGAACCAGAGCAGAGGCAACAGTATGAAGAGCTTGCTCTAGAGATATTCACAAGATACAGACCAAAGTATAACAAAACACCTGATCTGGATGATGTTCTTGAGAGGTGGGTTTATTTTTATGTACTATAATAATACTGTCACTTTTTTTCTGCTGTTTGCTGTGTTTTGGGTTTTAGCAGGTTTTGTGTGTTACCAAATTAATTGCTTTGCTGCTTAAACCAAATATTGGGCAAGAATGAGGCAGGAGTTAGCCAGTTTGGAGGAAGGTAATACAGCACTATGCTGTTTGGGAAAAAAAACACTGACTGCATTTGAGGATCTGGGCATAAAGATGTAACTTCATCTTAATTTGAAATGCAGGTAGACAAAGGACAGGAGTTTTAGGACTTTTGAGACTGTGTCATGTGAGATTAAAGTAAGAATGTTACTGTTTGCATTTCCATGGTGGGGTGCTGAAAGTATCAACAAGGGACTGTTTGATCATTATTAACTAACAGGTCTCCAGTGTTTTGTGAATTACCTAAATCTGTATGGTGTGAAAAGAGCAATATGTGAAGTTAAAATTAGTGTGAAGGGCACATTTAAGGGGTAAGTCCTTGGAGTGGCTGTGCCCACAACAGTGTATTTGACACATTTCCTGCTGAGAGCATGGAACTTGGAAATATGGAAATCAATTGTGAATCAATTTTCTTTTAGCAAACAGGATTTTAACCTGTCTTGATTGATCATGCTGTGCAGAATCTCAGTAGCAGCTGTGATTCTGCTGACCCTTCAGACAGAGGAGGACAGAGTATAACAGCAGTGCAGGTGTCTAATCAGGCCTTACCTTTATCTGGCCTTCACTGCTTCTTTCACCCCATCTTTTGGATCTGCTGGTCCTCATTTGTTGACTGTATGGTTCTGGGGTGGGCATATTCTGGTGTGAAGATTTATATACTTGGGTTACTTGAACAGTGAAGTGTTACATAAGCTAATAACAAGTGGCACACCACATTTTTATTCTTTCAGCTTTATTTTTTTCTCCTTTTTTTTTTATAGTGGAGATGGTAAACTTCCTGTATGTGTTGCAACAGGAGCCCCTATCCTGGAGTATCAGTTCTGGATGTGCAGTGTGTGTAAGCACTGCATGAAAGCCACAGAAGCAGGCCATTATAATGCCTGTCCTCTGTGCCACAGCACAATAAGCTGAGGATAAAGACTGTATCTGCATTTATGACTGCTAAGAACAGCCTCTAAAATGGTACTATCTTGAAATACAACTCAGGTACTGTATTGTAGCAGTTAGTGCTGCTATTAGAGAAACATTAAAAAAAAAAACAAACCCAAAACCAAAACAGAAAACCCACAAGAGAAACCTTTACTGCTTCCATTTAGCTGAAATAATTACCATGTAAATACATTCTGGTTTTGCTATACTTAAAAAAAAAATATTTAAGGTAAAAGCATTATTTTTGAATTGTAGATTGAGCCTAGTTGCAAAACTGTATGAGTGGAATGTAGGCTCATATCAATATATTCCACTCTGAGCAGGCTCCATTTTTTGGTCTAATTCCATAGGAAATTACTGGGTTTTCTCAGAATTCAGTTTTTTGAAGGAAGTGATTCCTGAGTTTAAATAACATCACAATAATTTTGATAATATTACCACGTAAGTTTTTGTACTACTGTTTAGTTACCAGAGTAATGACACCAGTATAAGCATACATTAGTGCTGGTTTCTTTTGCCAAGTGTATTTAAACCCACCATAAAATAAAGGGCTTGAAAACACGCAGCAGTCAGTGTGTCAGTCGGGTTCCTGAGCTTGGGTGATCCCATCTTCAACAGCTTAAGGAAACCTCCATGAACTTCCAACCTGGAACCTGACACTTTTCACGTAGCTTGGGAGAGCAGCCTGCGTCTGTTGAACAGCTGTCAGGAGCTGAACTGTCACCCTTGTGACACACAAAGGTCCAAGGAACAATGTCTGGCTGTCCCACCTTAGTGCTGGTTTGTGCTCTGGCAGTGCTGCAGGGCCTTGAGCACGGGGCGAGCTGTGCCCAGGGCCAGCCAGCACTGGCTGCCTGACAAGAGCTGTGACGTTCACATTGTGCAATGGCACGTTTGAGAGGAGAGCAGAGGAGCTCTTCTGTGCTCTCCCCTAAGCTTGGACCCGGTAAGGATAAACCCCCTCTCCACAGCATCACAGAGTAGCAGAAGGGCCTGGGTTGGAAGGGACCATAAAGATCATCTTCATATAAGCCTGCTGACAAGGGCTGCACCATCTTCCACTAGACCAGGTACCAGAAAGCCCATCCAACCTGTTCTTGAGTATTTCCAGGGATGGGGCACCCACAGCTTCTCTGGGCAACTTGTTCCAGAGTCTCACCACCCTCACAGTAAAGAATTCCTTCCTTATGTTTAACCTAAACCTTCTCTCCTTCATCTTAAAGCCATTCTCCCTTCTCCTGTCCCTTTATGCCCTTGTAAACAGTCCCTCTCCAGCTGTCTTAGAGCCCCTTTAGGTACTGGAAGGTGCTCTGAGGTCTCCACCAGGCCCCTCCCAGCCTGTCTCCCGAGGAGCAGTGCTGCAGTCTCTGATCGTCTTGGTCTCCTCCGGCCGCGCTCCAGCGGGTCCAGGTCGTGCCTGTGCTGCGGCCGCAGGGCTGGACGCTGTGCAGCCGGCGGGGGTCTCGGGAGAGCGGAGCAGAGGAGCAGAGGGCCCCGCGGCCCCGCTCCTGTCGCCATTGCCGCGTCCGCTCCCCGGCCAGCGCCTCCCTGACGCGGCCGCGCGCGCCGGCGTGACCGTGACGTCAGCGCGATGGCGGGGGAGGCGGCGGCGCTGCTGGCGGCGGCGCGGGCGGGGGTGGGGGGGCGGCCGAGGAGCTCTTCAGCCGCTTCATCGCCCGCAGCCCCGCGGGGTAACGCCGGGGCCGGGAGCGGGGCGGGCGCGCCGGGCCGGGCCCCGCTAACGCCGCTGCCTCTGTCCCCGCAGTGCCCGCAGCGACCTCGCCACGGCGCTCAACGACCGCGGGCAGGTGCGGTACCTGCGCGTGGAGTTCGCCGCCGCCGTGCAGGACTTCACGGCCGCCATCGAGTGCCAGCCCGGCTTCGAGGTGCCCTACTACAACCGCGGGCTGGTGCGCTACCGGCTGGGTACGAGCCGGGGCCGGGCAGGGCAGCGAGACCGGGCAGGGCAGCGAGACCGGGCGGCCCCGGGGCACGGGCGGGATCGGGACACCTGCAGGGCACGGGCGGGGACACCTGCCTGGCTCTGAGGGGGACACCTGCCTGGCTCTGGGGGGACACCTGCCTGGCTCTGAGGGGACACCCGCCTGGCTCTGGGGAGACACCTGCCTGGCTCTGAGGGGACACCTGCAGGGCACGGGCGGGACGAGGGCGGGCATCGCAGCCTGCCCCCGTGTGCGGTTTCACCCTGCTGCTGGCTGTGCTGCTGAGTCATTCCAAACTCTGCTGTTCCGTGGAGAATGGGAGGGAAGGTGTAGTTGACTTGTGGGAAGATTTGCCCTGGGGTCAAACAAGCCAGTTCCAAACACTGCCATTAAACCTCAGATAAAGCGTCTCCCAGGTACCTGTAGCACAGCCTTCTCGACTTCCAGCGGGCTGCTGGGGAATCTCCAGCCCCGTTTTTGATGATGCCATCACAAAATGACAGCCCTGTGCCCTTTGTTAGAGCTTGGCCATTGTGGAGGTCGAGGGAGTGGAGAATGGAGCCGGGCCATAGGCACCAGCTGGAAGCTCTGTGCCTGTGTGCCAGCTTTAAGGCTGCCTCTATTGGTGTGAGCCTTTTGTCTCCTCCCCTTGGGAATAAACAGGCTGAACTTTGCCTTAAGTCCATTTGAGGTGCAAAAATTCATGCAAAATGAGGTGCAAAAATTTATGGTTGTTGATGTGAAACACTTTGACTCCCAGTTGGGCCTGTGGAGAATCCAAATGCTATGGCTCCAGGAAGTAGCTGTTACCTTGTGGGTGAAAATATTAGGAGGTGTTCTTGAGTTGTCAGAGGTTTGTGAGCATGAGCAGTTACAGAAAGATAATTTTACTTTTTTTTCCTTTTTTTGGGACAGGAGACTTTGATGAGGCCATGAAAGATTTCAGGAAAGTATTAGAGTTGAACCCCCAATTTGAAGATGCTGCATTGAGTCTAAAACAGGCTATTCTTGATAAAGAAGAAAAACAGAAGCGGGGTTATTGAAAATGCAGGTAGTGATGTGATGTGAAAATATTCCACTAAACATGTGATTTTTGTCATTGATGGATGAAACACAAGATCGTTTACATCTGTTATGACCTCTTGAAGAACTTCATTCTTAGGCAAATAAGGTAAAAATTGATTATGATTGCAAAGTAACCTGAATGTGGGATTTCTGTCCTTGAAGGAAGGTGTAATGTTGATCTCTGTGAGACACATGTACAGATTTTATACAGAAATACTTTGTAATTCTATAATAAATGTATTAGCCAGATTAATTGAAAATAAAAATGAACATGTACTTTTTATCTTGTGATTGTCTGCAGAGTTTACCATAGAAAACATTCACAGGAGGAATTGTGCTTTCTCTTCCTTATTAAAAAGATCAATTCCCTGAAAAAATACAGTGTGAAATCCATCTGATGGAGCTGGCTGTGAACACCCAGGCAGCTTCATTTCTCACATGGTAGGAGGGACCATTACTGAAATCCGTAAATCATCAGCTAGAAGGATCCTTACAAGTTCATAGCAACACAAATTTAACACAATAAATACTGACTGCTGATATGACCATTAGGATTTTGTTTTTTAAATTATGCCGGTGACATTTCTGCTTCTTACTTTGAGTTCCTGTGTGGATGAGCCCAGAGCCTGCAGAAGCACAGGGCTCACTGAAGATGGTGGGACTGCTGGGGTGAGTGGTGAGAGCAGACTGGAGCCTCTGGATGTCCTTCCCAGCAGCCTCACCAAGATCACTTTCAGTGTAGGGATGAACCTGCAACAGCCACAATGAGCAAATTTGAAGCACGGCTGAGAAAATGCTGCATTTGCCTCTCATGCTCTTGACACTTGCCTGCAGCCATTTGAAGTTACAGAAATATGATATGTAATAGAAGGATGTGACCATTCACAGTTTGAGAAATAGGCAATGACCATTTTTCCCACCTCAGAAGTCTTCATTTTGGACTTGATATAATAAGCACATGGTTTGCTACCATTTATCTTGGTGTTCTGTCTCTAAAACAACACAGAGAATTCAATTACTTGATACATTTCATGCCACCTCAGTCTTAAAAACTGAGAAATCCTACCAACTCTTGACTGATGGTGAGAAGGTGAGGTAGAATTAAGCATGTTCCTGACTGACCTTGCCAAGACAATCAAAAATGCAGTAATGAACAATTGAATGTGTCTCTGGAAGTTTTACTGTGAGAAGAGAGATCACAGATGTGATTCTGCACAGAACACTTAAAATGACAGGATATAGATCAAAATATTAACAATGAACAAGTATTTTAGAAAACAAAGATGCTAGAGATAATATTCCAGCTTGTGTTTTGTGAATGTTGCTTAATTACTTCTCATGCAATTGCTGGCTCAGAAGTACTGTACAGGGCTGGGGAGCAATTGCCAATTCTCCACAGTATTTCCTTGTCTGCTGTGAAAGGATGAACTGTCATCATGCATTTCAGCCTAATCTGGAATTCTTTCAAGGTGATTTTGGCCAGTAGGGTTTTCACATTTTCCCCTTTCACATGCACACAGGTCACTTAGTTCTCTGACTTCCAGGTTTTCATCCTGAAATTGTGAAATAGCCCTGCTGGTTTCAGCTGGGGTAGAGTTAGTTCCCTTCACAGTGGCTGGCATGGGGCTGTGTTTTGGATTTGTGCTGAACACAGGGTTGATAATATGGAAATGCTTTTGTTATTGCTGAGCAGGGCTTGCACAGAGCCGAGGCCTTTTCTGATTTTGTACTGCCATGCTGAGGAGGAAGTGGGGGATGCCTGGGAGTGTGGGAGGAGACAGCTGGGACAGCTGACCAAAGGGATACTCCACACCACAGGGCATAATGTTCAGTATATGAAGTGTACAAAAAACCCCAAAACTTGAAGAGGAGGATGTATTTAGTAACTCCTCTTGTCCTGCAAAGTTTCCTGTTATAAAAGTTTAAGAATTAAAAGCCTAACGGAGAGTAATAAAATTCTTTTATGTAATGTTTTGTGAAATTCAGGCAACCTCTCAGCCTGTAAAAGGAGCAGGGTTGTGTGCTTTGGATGCTTTGCAGTGCAGGGTGCTGTAGCTTTATACCTTCACTGGGCTTTAGGGGTTGTCTCTGCATGAGAATTCCACACCTCTGTGCAGCTCCTGGGTCAGTCCTGCCTTGTCAAAGTCATGGGGCTGCACCAGTAAGTCAAACAGATGGTTGCTGCTAATGCACTGTGACTCTCTTTACTCTGGCCAGAAATATTTCAGACGTGAATAATTCTCAGCTGCTTTCCCAAGGTTTCCTACCTATAAACCTACTCTCCCAAGCCCTTGACTTTCCTTCTACTGCTGTCACTGGTAGCCCCTCTGCTTGGCTTGTTCCCTGTGGGCAGGGTTAATTTGGCAATGAGTAACTGTTCTCACCTGATGATTTACCTCTAAATGTAGGAAAAACCCTGTGAATTCCATAATACGTTACAGAATCTCAAAGAATAACATCACTACCTTACAGAGCAAGGCAAAGAGTAACATCATCATGCTGTGCTTTTCCCTAGGACTCCATTTGTCCTACTGAAACATGGGAGGAGGAGTTGTCACGCAACCATCAACGTTGCAAGGCCTTTCCCTTGCTTGTGCAGAAAGGTGGGAAAAGCTGACAGAATGCCAAGGTTAGCAGGGCAGTGAGCAGTGTGAGAAGGGTTTCATGCATGTTTAGTGTGAGTGTAGCATGGGGAACAAGGAGAGCCTTTCCAAGTGGGAAGCTGCAGCACATTGAGGCCACAGGGTTTGGTTGTCAAGTAGCCAGAATAAGTCCCTCTTGCAGATGCCTGCCTTCTGAGTGAGCAAGGGAGCTTTGGTCAGCAGGGAGAGCCTGAAACCCTTGGGGTGCTGCAAGTGAGGGCTGCACTGTGCACTCCTCATCTAGTAGGTAACCTTGTTAAAAAGAGACTGAGGAGAGAAAGGTGCACTATTCCAGTTTTGTGGGGACTGAACACCTCTATCTCGGTCAAGCTCAGCTATGCAGGTCATGCTCTCTGTTGCCTGTCAGGAGGGGAAAGATTCAGGAAAGCAAAAACAATGTTCAAAACTGAAGATTGCTAGTGGGAGGATAATATCCAAAATTCTTTTATGTCAGCAGATGTTCATCTGCCTCATCCTTTTAACAGAGGCATGGGCTGGATCAGTGAAACAGATTGACCCCAGCCAGTGGCTTTTCATACAGAATGGAAGGTCTGGTTGCTTTGTATGAAAGCAGTTTGCTGAGAGATGTGGTCAAGTTGGAGGCCCCACTTCCAGCATGTTGTGACCATTTGTGCTGAATGCTGGTCTGTTTCCTAAGGTTATTTCCAAGATTCTCCTTGTAGGATCCCTTTAGTGCATGAGCGGGGATGGATTGGATGCAGTCCAGAGCATTGCTTCCTACAGCTCATGGTGATCAGTTCTTTTATCACTCGTGTTTGTATTGTACAAGGAGCATGTGAACTGGGCTGAAGGACATCCTTGTCTCCCAGCAAGGAACAGCTGGTCCAGCTGTGTCCCAGTTCACAAGAGTAGGTTTCAGCCTAACTCCTGTTGCTATGGAAAGGCTGATCAGTGCTTTCTAGGCTGGGACTCCCCAGCAGGGGGACTCTGTTGTGACTCTGTCTGTGCATTAAAAATAACTTCTCTCTCAATTCCTTTTTCTCCACTTTGGCTGAAAAATGAAGGCTTGTTCAACTACACTGGTAAGACCAGAGTGACTCCTGAAAGCTAATCCAAGGAGCCATAGGCCTGAAAACTGCAATCTAGGACAGGAGTTAGGTGCTGAAGTTCCCTTTGCAGCACCTGAGAGGCAGGAATAATCCCAGGAGAACAGAAGTGCAGAGCAGGACATCTGTGCAGTCGCGTGGCTGAATCACACCTTGTGAAAGACACCCTCAAAGGTAAACAGGGAATGCCTAACCCAACACACTGTGAGATTTGGTGTGAAAATCATCATCTACACCATGGTCAGCAACCAAGGCAGGAGAAAGAGACCAAGGATTGGAATTGTGCTGGCTTGTCTTTGGGAAGGGGGAAACCTGAAATCCCTGTTGAAATGGGAATGCAAGTCTGTCTCTTGTTTTCCATCTGCCTTCCAAGGTATGTGGAAGAGAAAAGTCTCCTCATCTGCCAGGTGGTGGAGGAAGGGTATGGAATGCTGCTGCACCTCTTCCTGGTTTTCCAGGGCAAAAGGAGAGGATCTGGGATAACCCACTTACTGCAGACAAGTTTATCTAAACATGCTCTGCAAAGCTGCAGGACAAAGTGAGCCTCAGTTACACCAGACCAGACCTGGTGCTCACCTCCGTGGTCTGAGAGTGCTGAGAAGAGCTAGCATTTGGTCATTATTATTTTCCCTTCATCCTAGTCTACAGATTTCTAGAGGACTGCTTTTCAGATTAACAGAAAGTTAACCTAAACTTAAAAATTTGCTGCTGCTGTTAAAAACAGGGAGTGTGCTCTCCTGGCAAATGCATGCATGGCAAATGCAGTCACTTGCTGGGCTCTGCAGTGTGGGCTGTGGACAGCAGAGTGCACTGCTCATGCAGCAGAGGAAGGCAGCACCCAGGCAGCTGCTGGGGGGGCTGGGGTCACAGCACCCTCCCATTCCTTTTCACAGATCATACTCCTTCAGCAGGTACAGCTGTAACAGGGCGTCTATTCAGCAATCGTCTCAGGCAGGACTGCAGCTTTTGGGAAGTGGGCCACGTGTGTGCACTGACCAGGCAGGTTGGGGAGGCAGGGGCTGCAGGAGCTGGGAAACCCTCTAGAGACTGCACACAAGTGTGCTGTCAGCACGAGTGTGCCATCTGCCCCGTCTGCACTGCTGGTGAACTTCTACATGTGCTGCAGCCACACCTGCAGGTACACTGTAGACACATCCTGAGGGTGATAACAGGTGGTCATGTGTCAGGTTTGTACTTGATCTCAAAACAATTAATAAGAATTAAAAGAAAAAAAGCAACCTTTCCATATGCACAGAAACAAAAAATACCAGGTGTCATTTTTGCTCATACTACAGTATCCATTTTCTCACATTTTATAGAGTTAGCTTTTTCTTTACAGGGACAAGTGAGAGGAATATGAGGAACTAACAGGTTTCCAGGAAGGTCAGGTTGATGTCATGATACAGACAAAGCTGTGCATTAGTGGGAAGAAGCCTGTGCCTAGTGTTGCAAGCTGGAGGGGCGCTGGCAGCGATTGCTTGGCTCTCTGAAGCCAGCGTTGGTACAGCAGATGGCTGCTCTTGCACATTAGCAAGGAGATGTTCTGTGCTTACATTGCTCTGATGTATTTTT